CCTCTGTAAAAAGGAGGCCCTCTGTAAAAAAGGAGGCCCTCTGTAGAGAGCAGGCCCTCTGTAAAGAAGAAACCGTCTGAAATCAGAAGGCCCTTTGAAGAGAGGAGGCCCTCTGTAGAGAGGAGATCGTCTGAAGAGAGGAGGCCCTCTGTAGAGGAGGATTCCCTCAGTAGAAAGGAGGTCCTCTGTGGGAAGGAGGCCCTCTGTAGAGTGAAGGCCCTCTGAAGAGAGGAGGCCCTTTGCAGAGATGAGGTCCTCTGTATAGAGGAGGTCCTGTGTAGAGACGAGACTCTGAAGAGAGGAGGCCCTACATAGATAGGAAGCCCTCTGTAGAGAGGAGGTCCCTGTAGAGACTAGAGAGGAGGCCCTCTGTAGAGAGGATACCCTCTGTAAAGGAGGCCCTCTGGAGAGAGAGAGAGAGAGACACCCTCAGCAGAGAGGAGGCCCTCTGTAGATAAGAGGCAATCTGTAGAGAGGAAGCCCTCTGTAGATAAGAGGCCCTCTGTGGGCAGGAGGCCCCCGGTAGTCAAAGACAGCGTCGTATATTAAGTACATAGAGTGGAGGCCCACTGTGAGCAAATTACCTTCTGGCTTCTGGTCCGTGCTACTCTCTATAGAGAGTTATCAGTTCTCACTATAGTGAAAACTGAGAACCCAGGAAACTGTACAGAATAGACTCCCAACCGCGTCGCCGCCCACTGTAGGAAGGGACAGGGGAGGAGGTCCTCTGTAAACAGAAGGCCCTATTCTATGTAGACAAATTATTTGTATAAATGCGCTCAGAGAAATCATGCCGCGTGCCGTCAGCGGTTTTCCCGTCAACGGTTTTACCTGCAGTGGCCGCAAAAACTGCCAAAATGGCCGATATTTTCGGAAACCAGTTTTCGGCGATAACTTTCGTCTCAAAATTTGCACGAACTTCCCTTTACCAGCATCGTGTTCCTCTCGTCCAGACGTGTGGAATGAACTATGAATTGACCTTGAAAGGTCAACTTGAAAATTTGGCCTCAGGTCAAGGTCATGACCTGACCGATAAGGGCTAAGATCCATATCAGTCCATCCGTATCGTCGAGCCAAACACAACTAAGGTGTATTCATCGCTCTAGCATACCTCTATCAAAAGTTATTCGCGAAAAACAGTCAGATACCATTCGTGACCTGAGATGACCTCAGGGTTATAGAAAGGGTCACGGGTGCCATTTTCATGTTCAATGTGTCAAAGATACTAGTAATTCAGTGTTTTAGAGTGTTTATAATGACTTCCGTCTAAAAAGGCGACTTTCAATTTAAGGTCGCAAAATTGACCTGACCTTATGTCATCGATATCAAAATTCCAAGACATACATTTTTTGCATTTTGTCGCTCTTGTGCATTTGCATCTCTGAAAGTTTCAAAGCGTTTGGTCACTCCGTGTACCTTTGGCAGACATTAAAACTTTTTATGTGGTGAGGTCATTTGACCTGACCTGGTGACCTGACCTTAAGTGACCAGGGTCTGAAATTTTCACAACATGTGTAGAAATGATGTAGCATAAAGTGTGCCGCGTCGCCGTTTTTTAGATATTCACGGAAAACTGCAGGGGGGGTGTTTAACACCCCCCGGCAGGGCGCGGGTTAATGCATGAACACAGCAGCCCATTTCTGTAATATATACCTGTGGCTGTGTTGGTATTTTTACGATGGATGCAATTACCCAAACCATTTAATAGACCGTGGTGATATTCCCATAGCCATGCTTCGCACAACTCATAATAATTTATTTGACCGGGAACTTAATATACCTATACCTATCCATCGATTGTTTGTTTCATCTACGGCGTAAATGAAGCAAACCACCTGGACCTAGGAAAATTTACTAACGAAACCATGTGTTACTTACAGCAAGTAAACGTGGCATAATTCACACAGAAAGAATTGATAACCGTATAGTTTCAATCTTGCAGACGTCAGTAAGGTCAGAATCGTGACAAGCCTATTGGAAAATATAGGTAATGAACTGTGTCCTGCTTCGAGAAAACGAGTCAAAACCACCCAATTCTTTCTGAATTACGTCAGATTATCTGATCTGTAAGCACCCAGGTGGCATTTACTGACAGGAGCACCGGGAAGGATCATCTGAGGTGAGGTGAGGTCATCAACAGTTTTTAGCCAATAAATCACGACATGATGGGGCTAAATAGTTGTTAGTGTACCAAACCGTTCGCCTGGTCATGACGCGTCGATTGGTACCCAGCGTGACTTTCCTAGGTTAGATTTTGAAGTTGACCTATCTATGTAGGTCGTTATAAACCATGTTATTTGTTATGACCTCTGGCGACCTCAATATTGACCTGACCCAAAAAAAAGTTGTTTACAAAAGTTGTAAGTCGTTCAACGAACTATCAAACGCCCTTGCCGTTTGTCGCTACGATTCGTGCTTTTCGAGTTCTGACGGGGGCCAGAAAAGGCCCCCGCCCGATTCAGAGTCTTTCAGAGCCCGCCCGGAATACGGTTAAGCGCTTGAACGATATATGATAATACACCAAGTGTTACTCTGACCGTCATCCAGTATCCTCCCATTCCTCGCAGATCCTCCCCCTCCTGCTGCGGTCCGGCCGCCGCCGGCGCCCGAGTTTTTTTTTTTTTTTTTGCCCGTTATCATGCCACTCGGAGACTTGTGATATGCGTATGTTTCTTACCGCTGCAGCCTGCAGCGGTAAGAATAAAGAAACATACCAGTGCGCTTGCCATATGAAAGCTGAACAAAAGTAAATGCATTATGTTGTATATGTAATTGTGTAGGCATGAGACCCTCTGTAGAAAGGAGGCCCCTTTAGGGAGGAGGCCCCCTGTAGAAAGGAGGCCCCCGGGATTCCTCCGCCCCTCCCTTGGCCAAATCCTAGCTACGTGCCTGATGGGCATGGGGTTCACTATGGTAATGTATAGACATACATGCATTTATAATTATTTTCTACCTTTATTACTAATTTATTTGCAAAAGTCCATGTAAGTATGACTCAAGGGATACCCGGGGACAGCCTGGCTAAATAACAAATGTTTTGTTACAGTAGGGGAGAGCGGGGCCAGTTGAAACACGGGGTCAGATGAAACATGGCTTTATTTTCAACAGCATGCAACATATGGCGTTGCCGACACCACTGCGCATCCGCACTCGACCACTTCCTTTGTCAACGGCGTTTGGGCGGCAGACGGATGGTAATTTTGATTTGACACTTGTTTTTGTGTTTTTGAGGGGCGTTTGGGAGAAATCGTTTTTATGAATATTTTGTGATATCTCATATACCTTTGTTTGCTGAAAGAAGAACTCCTGGCTCCGGAATAACACCTTATTTGGCCCTTCATTCAGCATGATGCCGTCCCTCCAGCTCGTTTGACATGTGCTTTACGGCGCGTGCGAGATGGCGGGAGCGGATGGGGTCAATTGAAACGCTTCTCTGAGGGTCAGTTGAAACAGGGCCACAGGCCGTTTCAATGGACCCCGGTGACCTTTGCAATGGTTATTGTTCAGGGGCTGTAAACATTAAAGGAAATAGTCCACCTTTGAAATGAGCTTTTAAACTGAAATAGTAGTTTGATAGAGCTCAATTTTTGACCCCTTTTCTCCAGCCTTTTGCTTGAAAGCACACTATAGCCTGAGATATTTCTCATTTTCCTCATCCGCCCATTTTACCATAGTCTATGTACTTTATGTCACCTATTATGAGGAACTTTGCACTTTTAGCTTTCCAACGACCTATTGAATGTAGCATTTGGAAAAGTAAACCGGACAAAATATCTCCTTAAGAAAGTGGCCTTGAAGAGGAAAACATCCCATTGTTAAGGATAGGTGCAATTGACCCCTTGGGCTGGTTCAATTGACCCTCGCATCGGGGTCATTTGAAACGGGCGTAGAGCTGTTTTATAAGCATGCGTTTGGCAGCAAAATATGTTTGAAACATAATTTTACATATCTTAAAATAAAGCCAAAAGAGCATATTTTTTCATGGTATTGGGCATTTTTCGATATGACAACTAGATCTCGCTGTGCATGTCAATATATAAAAAGTGGTTCAACTGGCCCCGCTCTCCCCTATATCCGTAAATACATCCATTTAACTATGCACTGCTCATATTTTTGACTACGCCAACGCCGAGTGGCAACTATAGTTGCCAAGTACAAATCTAGCACAAATATCTACAAATGAGTAGAGTGCTTTGAAGTTTTGAGACGCCGGTAGCATGCCTACATCCTTTCCGGATCAAAATAAGCCGCAACTGCTGGGAACTATCGGACACTCCGGAAAATCAGCGTCGTTTTCTTCGGGACCGTCATGCCAATATGGCGGCCGTCTCTGCACTGTCTGACTATTTCTTGATTTGTGAAGCATGTTGCGCACAGGACGTGACCGAAACCGTCTAATCATGATGAGAAGGGACTGTGCTGATTAGGTAACCCTCAAATGCTGTTCTGAAGTTATTACCTCGCCTTCAGCAGTAGGTTTTTGTAGCTGGCAACTATAGTTGCCACTCGGCGTTAATGAGTTAAGGGGAAGGGGGGGGGGGGGGGCACTGCCGACTTTTGGTCCCATTCTTCCCATGTAACGCCCATAGAGCCGAAATTAAAATGCCGAAATCAAAGGAGGGCACGGTGCCCCGGTGCCCTCCCCGTTCCGCCGTCTATGGGTGCCCCGGTGCCCTCCCCGTTCCGCCGCCTATGACCTCATTCTCAACCTATCAAATGCCTTGCATTCTACCTATACGAACAAACGATGCATATCCGTAGAAAATCCTGCGCTTCTAATTCTATGCCACTGAATATTAGTAGGTATTTTGAAGCTTTGAAGAATGAAGTTTGGAAGCTTCGATCAAATTTGATGTGCCCGCTAATACATTCGTTTCAGGACCAACTTTAATTTGGCTACAGCAATCTAAATGCATGTAAAACGTTGTCGGCGCAGCTGCGGCATTTATGTTTGAAAATAGTGTTCAAATACTTTGAAGACTCAATAGTATTGCTGATTTATGCAACTATCAACCAAACAGCCGTATGATAGTATCTATGAGCCGCTCGTTTGACTGCTCTTAAACAGAAATCTAAGTCAAATTGTACGAAAATATTGCATAAAAAATCAGAAAGGGTGCCGGCAAGGGATAGTTTCTATATAGGGCGTTGGGGATAGTTATTGTTGTGGTGTGTGTTATGTGGTGGACATTTCTTTCGGTATTTTAAGCTTACTGAAACGAATATATTGCTATTTGAATTTTTTTCTTCCATTTTGTCATTTACGAAGTCTCAGAAGTCAGAATCACGGTGTGTGTTGGTGTGTGTGGCTTTGGCTTAGCTCAGTCGACAGAGTCAGAGCTTGAGCGATGTTTGAACAAGCCAGGAACGCGGTACGGCTAGAAAACTACCCAGTTCACTTAGCCTGCAGGGATGGCGATATTCAAAGCCTGACTAAATTTGTTGGATTACGGCAAGATAAAAGTGTGCTTGTACAGGAAGATAACTTTTATTACTGGACGCCACTTCATTTTGCCAGCTTTTTTGGACAGGTCAGTAGGTAAATTGGCTGTTTTTTTATTTTACCATAACATTCTACTTTGGTGCTGTGGCTCTATGACCTGTCACAAGGTTTTGCTGGTAGTTTGGTAATTAATGAGTATGTGAGCATTGTTAAAAAGTGAGTTAAAATGGGAAGGCCCTTTCCCCAACTCCCGAGTCTCATGATCCATCAATTTTGTCAAGGTCTGTTGTAACCAATTCTTCCCAGGTATGATTGTGTGGTTTATTTTATTCTTCAAATGGATAATAGCATCTACTCTTAGTTGCATGAGGTACACCTTGCGTCCATAAATTATAAAATATGAGGCAATGCAAGTATGAAGTAGATGGCTGAATAGGTAGGTAGGCAATGTTCTGGTTGCCTACAACTGAGGAACAGGTTGATGTGTGGCCCTAGTTTTTCAAGCTACTACCTACTCATCCTTGATCCAAACCCCTTGGACTCTGACTATCCATTGACCTCAGTACTCAGTATCCAGCATATTCAGGACCCAGCCCTCAATCTGCACCTAACAGTGTTGAAGCTTGGTACTTAAAAAAAGACTGGGCAGTGCCAAAAGTGTAAATGAATAAAGCTCTGCATTTCAGATGAGCAGTTAGTGATGTAATTTCCTACTATCACATATGATTAGGCAAAACTCATCAAAGGTTTTTATATAGAACATGGCGGCATGGGATGATTTGCGATGTAATATTGTTCGTTGTTAGGTACCTACCTGCCTATATAACAAGTTGCCTGAGTGTTCACGGGCACCACAAACTGCTGAGTGCGGTGGGTGCGGTGTATGGTGTGTGCAGCAGGCATGGGGGTAGGGGATGGGTAGGCGGTTCTGACGTCACGGCTGCGTGCGGTGGACGGTCCGCTGTGGCCAGAGCGGTCGCTGTGTGCGGTGACGGAAGGCTGACGTAGGGACGTAGTGGGCGGAGCGTACAGCCTGTGTACGGTCTGACCGCACACAGGGCCCGTTAACAGCCCTCTGTTGTTTTCAGCTGCCCGCCGTTATTGTGCTGCGGGAGGCGGGTGTCAGCGTGGATCTCACCACAGCCAAGTTTCAGCAGACGGCCGCCCACATTGCAGCCTTTTCTGGCGCTGACCACTGTCTCAAGTACCTGGTGCACTTTGGATGCAATGTCAATAAACAGGTATAGTAAACATATGCTTAGATACTTTTTCCATTGTAATGCATTTTTCAGATTTCAAAAGAACATAACCTGACAGTCTTTGATCGGGTAACCATGGCACTTACATGGGAAAGATGACTTATAAGGAGTGAAGCACCCAGCACGCAGATCTCTTTGAAAAAGAAATACATCTGTTTTACTGTTAGAAAACATCAAACATGCTACCAAATACCGTGACGCCCACTTGTTGCGTCCCCTAGGACTACCTCGGCGAGACGCCGCTGCACAAAGCGGCACGCTCCGGGTCGGTGGCGTGCGGACGGGTGCTGGCGGCGGACGGCCGCGCGCTGCCGCACCTGCTCAACACCAGTGGACAGACGGCGGCCGCGCTGGCGGCTGCCTGCGGGCACTCTGAGATGGCCGCCTGCCTGAGCGAGTACGAGAGCAGCTGCGGACACCCGCGCACGGGTGGGTGACTCAGACATATCACATATGTGCACGACTGTCTGATCGAGAGTGTGAGGAGATGGGGACAGCTGGGGACGGGTGGGCGATACACCTTTGGTCGGATTGGCAATAACCTTTGATACGATGAGCGATATCTCTTTAAAGTTTGAGCAGAAACAGACATGACCACTGATTTATAGGTAACTTATTGCTTTAATTGCATATTTGTCTGTAGCTATATTAACATTGAGGATAACAGTGCTTTATCAGGTGGTCCATCCAGCAGCGAGTCTGTCCCCGACCTCTCACGGGCCTTCCACTCTGCCCTATGTTTCAGATGGCGCCACCGCTGTGTCGCACTATGTCCAGTTGGCGCCACCGGCGTCCTGCTCCGCCCAGCCGGCCCTGAACGGCGGTCTGGTACCGGAGCAGGCTACCGCCGGCGGACCGTGGTGCTACCAGCCGCCGCCCCACGCAGACGCCGCGGAGGGGATGGAGATGGAGGTCTCGGCCGGCGAGCCGGGCCGCTTCACCATCCGACACGAGCCGTGCGCGGGACACCAGGTGTTCCGTGTCAGTGTCGGCGAGCAGAGCAGCGGGGAGATAACAAACGGCTGGCATGGCAACGGCGATATCGCCGGCGGCTGCGTGAACGGGTTCGGCAAGAGGAGCTGCGAACAGGCGGCCCCGGAGGATATCAAGAGAAGGCGGCTCATAGGTGAGCTCGAATTCCCAGTGTTTGTTTTGAGGCTGTTTCGGTCCATTTGAGACCATTGCAGAGCCGGGAGGATGATATGAATTAGGGGGAGGGGGACCATAGGTCTGGGCAGGCGCTCTAGTGAGTCGCCGGGGCTGAGCCCATCCAATCGGACAGGCCGACCAGCCCCCCAAGCACTCACTGCATCTGGCTATGGATGGGCTCCCTTTGGAGCTCGCCCGCCTGAGATAAAGTTGCCGTCCAGCTCTGACCTTGGGTTGCGGCGTGGAGAAGGATTTGACTGTCCTGGTGATGGAAACAACGGAACGAGTGAATTCCCAGTGAGAACTGGAACCACTTTGCACTCAAGCAGTACCTATGGGAATCGTGAATAGTTTTCATATATGCGACTTGCTTTGCATGGCACATCGATAGGAAAAAAGATCAGGTTGCTATTTCTTCACTCTGTACTTGATAGAGCCACTATTATAAAGACACTATTATGATTTATAGCTACTCATGGCGAACGTGGAGAAACAGTCGCCAAGGTTATTCAGTTCTTTCATGCTCTGTCGTTAGCCTGAGTGCAAGATCTAGAATCGTGACCTCGTGTTCTCCCCCTCGTGTTCTCGTGCTCATGTTCTCATAGATTGTCTGCCAGTGGATGATGTGTTATACCTGTTTCATGTCGTAATATTTCGGCTGGTTCTGAAGAAAGCTATTTTACTTTGGTGCCTAACCATGTTCTTTAACCTGTCGTACCCAACAGAGCACGCGGCAGGGGACAACACGATGAGGGCCGGCGGACAGTGGGCCTAGTTCGGCGGTCAGCCGCCAGAGGCGCCACGCTCGCGGCTGGTTCCTGCTGCGTCCGTCCGCGGCGCCACCGTCGCGGGCGTGCTGCAGATTCTCTGAACAGATGACATCCACAGCGGGGGCGAACAGGCTGGACAAAGACTGTGTTCTAGGGTAAGAAGCTACGTTCATTTTTTGCTAGTGCAGCTTGTTTTATTTTCGTTCTTTCTCCTCTGTGAGGAGCGGTATGCGATTCGATTGTTGCGCGGTAGGCCGCCGTGATCGCAGATCTGCCGTCTGGGTTGTGCTGCGGCAGCGAGGGATCAGAAAGTGTGATTGCTGGACGGCTAGTTGGTGATTCGCCGACCGATAAGCCAACCTCGTGTCATCAACGATAGTTCAAAGCTTGCAGTAATACGCAGTGCGTACGAAAGCAAAAATGTACTTGTCAAGTTTCTAGAATAGTTTTAGAACACTGCCCATCAGTATGATAGAGAGCAGGTGACAAGCAGTTCAAATGTATGTTTTTAAAGTAGCGGTAGGCTCGTTTGATTTTTTTTTTTTTGCTCCATCATGGAGTCTGTTCTGTACTTACCACCCAATAACCGTTGTGTGCACCTAGGAAGTGGAACAATTCAATCACTGTGACTACATTTTTAAAGACGGACCGGTTACGAAACCGCTACCTACCTGTCGATGACAGTAGATGACGCTTCTGTAGTGCAGACTCCCGCACCAGTAGTTCCCAGATGCTGTCCCAGTCAATTCCAAGTGCTTGTTGGGAATGATGTCCGGTGCATTCTGCCTTGCGTAGTCCAGTGAGCTTTGTGTAGTGTAGCTTGCCGTAGAAGCTAGACAATGTGCACTCTTGATTCATGTGGCGATGTCTGTGTTCATTGTACAGTTGACTAAAGAATGCTGCTCGGTTCCTCCCAGACAATAAGCTGACTGGAATGGTAGACTGTGCCGCATCACGCAGACTGAGTGATGAAGGCTGTCCCCGTGGTCTTGCGCTCACTAAAGAAACGCTTGATTGCGTTATACGCGCAACAACCTAGCGTTCCAGCCAACTCCTAGCTAGTGAGGGGTAGAACATCATTCTGTATTCAACTGTACGTTCTTTGGGGGTTAATGTACAAAACCTTTCAGCGTCACACACTGGGCACCGGTGCCCTTCAGGCCGACATCCCCCTGCTCTTGGCGTCCCGGGTTTGTGAACCATGTGAACAGGGCCGGGGGGTGATCTGTAGTGGCTCTTGTGACCCCAAAAACGCTACATGACTGACGGGAGATCCAGTTACGCCCGTTTCTAATCTTTTGTCCATGACCGCTCTTCACATGACCAAATATGAGGTGGCAGCTTTGCGTATCATTCAAAATGGCAGCCAATAATCCACGAGATACAACCCAAGTCTCCCTCGTTTTGGTTCTGTTGCTGCCGTCGGGACACCCTTGAAACCAATCATAACCATCATCAACACTCACCTTCCATAGTCGCTTGTCTAACCGAGCACTCAGTACAGTTCTGGCATGACCACCTATAGTAATCACATTTGAATAAAAAATGCACGACCGAGTACAATTAACCATTAAGTAGAGTGGATAATGGTAAAAAGACACACGCACCATGATTGACCACTTCCTGTCCTGACTCTAGTACTGTTTTCGTCCAAAACTCAACCGTTCAAAGACACTCATGGTCGGATGAACTGTGATAGTCGTCACAGATACTTCAGCAAAGTACGAGTATGCGTGCATACTGCATATCCTACGGATTTGCGGCTAATACTTCATACGAAATCAATCTATCAATCTGCAATGCGCACTCACTTGCTGATGTGTCCACAGTAATCTTTGTATAACATTTGTGGAGGTTTTTATGAGGTGTAGCGGACCGATTGTGTTACCTGTTTAGTGTTCAGTTATCATGATTGACCTCTTCCTGCTCATTTAAAGTGTTTGTGTTATATTCGAACTGCTGTATGACAATACTTAATTTTGTTTACACGAAGAATCAACCATTCCGTATATGCTAGTCCTGTTTTAGACCAACTAAGAACTACTACGCTTGTTGTTTTCTGTAGTTTTTTTTTGTCTCATGAGGCGCATCTTCGTGTAGAGCCGCCCGCCCGTGTTATCTCTGCATATGTATTTAGTGATTGCTGAGATTTGACAGTATAAACAAATGTCCGAGAATAAACGAACATTTCAATCATCTCAGCTGTTTTTGTTACTTATTGCTATGACTATTTTGTTGGCAAGGTCTGATAAATGAAATGTGCTTGGACTTAAGTCTCCATTTTTCCTGAAACGAGCTTCAAGGCGTCTTTATAGGCCGTCCACTGCACATTAAATTTCTGACAAAGCTCAAACGCTCAAACGGCATTTTCTCAGAATCTTGCATCTTGCAACGTATAGATGACAATTAAATGCGCATTACAAAGTTTGCGCTGAGCATTGGCTATAATCCTTTCGTAAATAAGCCGGTAGGCTAGTACCTACTCGGCAATGGCATTGCATTGCATGCAAGTCACAGGTGGAGTGACAACGAAACGTCATATTACTATTTAGTAGGCTGGTACCGATGCCGGACCGCGTCGTCTAAAATTATTATCATCGGACCGAAATTCGAGTGTCCCGTCACCGTGTCAGGTATGACGTCACCGTCCCAGGTGTGACGTCACTCCGTGCCAGGTAGCCGAGTGACGCGCTCGGTGGCGGCGGACGCAGGCGCCGGTGGCGGCGGCGGCGGCGGCGGACAGTGGCGCGTCAGTGACGCCGCGGTCGCGCCACGAGTGCCGCCGTCCGTGGTGCCGCGGGTGACGTCAGCGGCTGGTATACCCGGAGCAGAGGAGGACCCGATCGAGCCCCAGGACCGGGTGTCGTTGTTGTGAGAGACGGCTCAAGACTGACATGCAAGGCGAGCTTCTTAGTGCTACAACGGGCTAGAAGAGATACTAAAGAGTAATACGAGACGAATTCTGGACTGAAGTAATACTATATGCCCTTCAAATTACGCGTAACTTTGTCATGCCGGTTGCTACACAAGATGGGATCAGATGAAATATGAGTCTGATTATTAAAGCCAAACAAGAGAAACTGCTAAACGCCCAACACCCGTTATACTCATACAAACCCGAACCAGGTACAGTCGTGTTTTGCATAAGTGAGTGGGACCGGATCAGGAGAGATTGAACAAGTTGGGCCAGTCTCTAAGAATAGCGGACATTTCTGCGGCGTGGCGTCCAAACGAGAGTCGGTCTGATTTGATGCGACTGAATTTGATGAAAAAACCCCGACAGCGCTTGAGATCTGAAGTGGGCTCTTATCTGAACCAAGGATGGCAAGCTTAACGTGAACCAGCTCAGACTTATTAGTAAAGTTCACAGGTAATGCTGAAAACATTTAAGTGCTCCAAGATATCTAGTCAACGCTTTCGCTAATCAATCAGGTATGCATAGACGGTGAATGAGTGAAGAGTGGACAATGGCCATTTTGTGGATAATCATCACAGAGTTACATGCCCTGTCTATGGATTATTTACTTCGCATTATACCACATTTAATGTTAATTTGAGTGCCAATAATTAAAGAGTGAGATAGTACCTATTTTGTGCTATCGTGTATGAAGAAAGGACAAAATAATATGCAATAGGTACTAATGCTATATGTAAATGTAAAAAAGGTATGATACGATACAAGGTGAAATATTTACGCTGTTATTCTCGAATGGGTTGGTATGCTCGGTATGGTAATTCCTACAAGAAAAAAGAAGAAAAGAGAAAAATGCACAAGAAAAAACATGCAGTTGATTGGGCACCTTTCTTCTTTATTTGTTCGCAAAAGTTGCGATATTTGCCCTAAATTTGTTTTCATTTCGAAAAGGGCTAGAAAATATTACCGAGATGATGACCATTCATTTACTTTTTGTCCATGCTGCTGTCATTTCGTAAATGGCTTCTCAACATGCAGCAGAATTTATTGGGAGTCTGGCTTTTCGGAAAATATGTTTGTGAAGTGCTTAATTTCGCTGATCGTGTTTTGTAAGCGCTTCTCAGTTCTGCCTTCCTTTGATGATGTCAAAATTGATTCTATCCGCCTCTCCAACCTCAAAGTCGTCCCCTGATTAACACTGGAAGATTCTCTAGAATTTGCTGCTGACAGGACGTAAAGATTGGCGCGACCAATGCGGTGTCAGTTATCGAACGCTTCTACGCCGGCAACTGATATTGTCAGCTACATAACGTGAGCTAGGGAGGGAGTCGGATCCTGACCGCGATAAAGTGAATTGTTGCAGAGCTGCTTGGGAGTTTGTGTCACTCCCAGCCCGGTACGTTTTGTTTTACTTCATTGGATCTTGTCGGCTTTTGATGTATTGCGTATTCTACACACGAAACCATTGTTGCATCAATTGCGACCTGAAAACGAAAGTAGAAAAAAGGCGTAGACATCTCAAACCGCCGATTTCGCCGTCAATTATGAGAAGCACGGGCGGGAATAGTTCACGGAATGCTCTAAAAGTAATCGTTTCACGCCGGTTCGTGGGGTGAGGTCTGAGCCGGTTCGGACTCGCTGTGTCGGAGTCAGTGGACTTTGCCGCTCAGCCAGGGGCGGAGGGTGGTGGCTGTCAGCAGTTGAAGGTCAGGTCAGGTCATGGTTGACTATGGAGAAGGGTCACTTGTCTGACAAGTCATGCAGCCAACATTAGGTTTTATAATGAAACGGAAATACTACATACCGGCTGTTAGGTAGTCAGCTGTTGACTCATGCATAATGCAAATGCGATATGACTTGAGATTTTAGAGATAAACTGTAAAGACTAGCTTAAGACCTCTGGCAGATGCACAATGAATCGAGCACACAAATGAGGAAGAATGTGGGAAGCTACTAAGCAAGTTTCTAGTTGAAGGCCTCTCGTTGAAGCTCCAATTGGTGCCGGGATGCTTGAATGTTAGCTTGCTATTTCCATGATCTGAATTGTTTATAAACCGTTCCACTACAAATGTCTTCAGAATGCCGTCATAGAATAACTCAAAAGTCGCGCCAAACCTTATATTTTTGTCAGGCACAAAGCAATTTGAGAGCGCCGCGCAACACTAACAAAACTTCCTATGCACTTCAGGCGAAGCCTTCGCATGACGCCCGGGGCGATTTGTTAACTTTACAGCAACAATAGTACCTCTTTGCTTATAAACATCCCGGTCGTTGAGTGTTTGTTTGGAGAAGGAGCGAAGCAAGTTCAGATGAGTAAGGAAGTATAGCGAAAACTCGTGAGCTCTTGCAATAATCGATGAATCATGCGGCTGAGCCTTTTTGAAAGTTGAAGCTAGTTATGAGATGTTTTGGCAGGCGTGATGACATTGTAACGCTTAGTTAATTAATTATCTCGACAGTCTTCGTGTCTCTGATCGGTTTTAGTGGTGAGGACTCATGAGCACCTACATAATATCAAAAAGTCAGGAGTCAATCACGCTAAACCGGACTTGGCAAAGTCGACAACTTAAAGACAAATTTAACAACTAAACGCCCGTTCCAGATAACACGGATCGCCTCGATTAAGTTCTTTGTTTACAGGACTAGACGAATTATTCGTGGCGAGTTATTCACCGCAGGGTCACATAGTCGGCGAGTATTTCACGTGCCCTCCCATCATCTGCTGAAGAGCACTCACGTTGCGACGTTAATTTGGCGTTTTCTTCAGGCACAGATCCTGAGGTAGATTTGTCTACGATTCGGTCAGTGTTTAGCAACTGCTTCATTTCAGAGGCAAATGTTTTCTGCACATTTTCAACCGGAACTCATTTTCTCTGACATTTTCTCGGAAAATTTCATGATAAGGTGAATGACTGATCGACTGATCAAAATTGAAGCTACACTGTCCCATTTGCGAACATTACCTCAGTCAGTAAAGTCACCAGAAGTCAGTTGTTGTATCCGTGTTTTTCTGTAACCAGTTGCTGTTACAGCGCTTCAGATAAATCAAAGTCGAGCTGGGTACCGGGAGGGACAAGGAGTGCCCTTGAACCCCTTGAAAGGGATAAATCGACCAATGATATAGCCGATAGCCCTCATCAGATGGCCATTGATGACCCGTAAAGGCAGGCACTGACATTACGGACATTTGACCTTTATTTCAGCAGTGTTAGGTAATCGGAGCAGATTGACGCTCTGAACAGTGCACAGTCAACAATCCTCGGTTCCGGCTCCAGCGTGAGAGCTATAGTTCGTTTTTTTTTTTTTCAAAAGGACGCTGGCTCAAAGTTCATTATCGAAGCTCTCACGTGAGTTTTGGCAACTTCAGCGTCTGGCTAAGAATTTCTTGCCGAAAAAATGATCGATTTCAAATTGTGCTCGGTAAATACATGGAAATTGTGACTTCAAAAATGAGCATACTATGATGACGTCACTGGTGGCAGCTGGCACCCAATGTCCGTACGAAAGCATTCATTGCCAACGAATTTTGGGAAAACTTCGTTTTTTGCTCTTACCGAGGCCCGAATCGAGTAAGCGATTCTTTCCATGATAGTTATGCATTGCATTGCAATGCAAGTTCCACAGCATGACGTCACTAATGTTCTCATGTCTAGTTCCAAAACGCAGGCATGGAATTTATGGGGAATAATTCACATGTTAAAATAAGGCGACGTTCGAGTTTCTCAGGTTCAGTTTCTGCCCGTTTTGCTCGCTAAAACACGTGCTTGTTCGAAAAACATACTTGGAGCCAGCGTCCTTTTGAAAAAAATGAACTATAGCGCCGAAATCTGGGAGCGCCCAGTGCCACTGCCCCACACAGCGCAGCGGTCCTGAGTGGCCGACTGCACCGCACGGCAGGGGTGTGCTGCGGCACAGCCTACCCAGCTGCTGCTCGCTCGTGACGTCAGCGATGGCCGCGCCGGCCGCCACGCCGCCGGCTGCTCCGGCTGATCGGAGTGATCAGTTAACTGATCATTAATTATCGAGGCCAAACGCTTTTTTCGCCTTTTTTGGAGGTGGGGGGTTGGGGGAGGGCGGTAAGAAAGTGGCTCCGCCTTTGGTTAACACAGACAATGCTGTTTTCAGTCATTTTTCACATCCCTGGCAAAAGAACCCGAATAGAATCGACAATCGATGCTTTATCGGTTCGCGGTACTGACTGGTGCTGTGCTGTTTCAGGGGGACGCTGGCTCGGGCCATGTACCTGGGTCAGGAAAACCAGGAGCGACATGGCGGCATGTACTTCACTCGGCTCAGCGTCGGCGCCCCTGAGGTAGGCATTCAGTGACCTGCGCCCGGCGACCGGCGTTATAGACGGTGACCTGCTCGCGGGGTGCTCAGCAGCTGGGGTTTAAGAATGCAGGGGGGGGGGGGTCGATCGTCTTCCGTTTTAGTTGTCAATGGTCGATGAAATTGACGTGCTTTTAAATAGAATGTAGAATGATTAAGGTTCAATCAGTCAACCGCAATACACACTCTTCACATTTGATCGATTCGGCAGTCATTTCATTCGCTTTACCCACGTAAATGTCGATTGTCGCTGCGTTTGAGCGGGGGCCCGTTCCTGGGCCACCATTGTTTGATGACTGGCTGTTGTTGCTGGGTGGGTGGCGTTCCCGACTGACCTGGTTTGAACCGCGCTGAACCGGGGGTACGATGAACTCCGGCGAGGCGACCGCTACTTGTTAACGTTACGTTACGCACTATTGTGGTACAGCGGACAATGACTAATCAGCTGATAGGTTTGTTGGTAGAATACTCCATGGAACCGTGAAATGGTTGTCCGCTTGATGATTGCCAATTGACATTTCTCAATGTTTATGTCTTTATTAATGTCAAATCAATATTTTTATGTTAATTGGGTATATTGTCAGCAGTGATGGTATGATTGCTCAATGCTCATGGCATTCGCTATCTTCCAAATGCCAAGTGAGGTTTAACCCTCGCCGGACCTATTGGTTTTCTACATACGCGCCGGCCGAGGGGGGGGGGGCGGGTACGACCCCCCCCCTCGCCGTTTCGCCCCTGGTGGAGCTAGCGCGTCGCGGAAAAAACGAGCGTGTGCGCCGTTACGAGACGCAGAGATTGGTACCCGATTTTAAGGTCCTAGGTCAACCGGTGACCTCTGAGGTCAGGTCAAGTGCCCCAAGGTACGGTTCAGTTTTTGGTGAATAACTTCGCAAAAAAACGGCCACAGAGCGCCGATTTTGGCAGCATCGTGTTCGTCTCGCTCAGGCGCGTCGAATGATATACTTTTTGTCCGGGTCAGGTCAACTTGGGGTGTTGACCTCAGGTCAAGGTCAGGTCAGCACCCCCAGGTCACGAAGTTGGTCGAAAGAGGTCATGTCGCATATCATTCGATTCGGCAGGTCTTCCTGAGTCCATTGGTGGCTTTCCCGACTCGCTAGCTCAATTTGATCAAGAGTTATTGACGAAAAACTAATATGACCTTGATGACGTCATAAATGACGTCACACAAGGTCAACATTGCAAAAGTGACGCATCTAACCTTGCAAGGAGTGCATCAAATCACGATTCTGTGTGCTTGAGATAGTTGGAGATCGTTCCCGGCGCCAGAATAGCAGTTTGAATTTTTCCCCATTGACTTATAATGGTGAGGTCACGAAAATGACCTGACCTCATATGACCTTTAGGAAAAATCCGAGATATACAAGTTGTGGGACTCATAATGGATACTAGATCCTGCAAGTTTCATTTCCCTGTGACATCTCCTCTGGCAGTGAGGGCGTTGCGAAGTTGCGACATCTGAAGACCGTGCAGAGGTTCACTTATGACGTCATAGGTCAGTGACCTGACCTGACCCAAAAATGCGGTTGGTGTCAAAAGATCCGGCTTGGATCAAAGGTCAGGTATGCCAAGTTTCAGCTCTCTATCGCCAGCGTGTTCGGAGCTATCGCGAAAAAACCCTATGGGGGGGGGGCGGCACCCGCCCCCCCCCCTCGGCCGGCGAGGGTTAAAGAGGTAGGGTCCAAGCCCGGTCGTTATGCAATCAGTGTTGTACGTACCTTCAGAGCTGAATTTTATATTAACATCACTTCTTATGATATGCATTTAAACGAACTGTGAGAATGTCCCTTTTACATATGTGAGATGATTACTGTGCCCGTCATTTCTTCATATTGCGGGAAATTTTTGTATCCACGACACCTCGCTGTCTATTTCGCTGCGCTAGCGACTGTTGGACCGCGGACGTTAACTGACACGAACACTGAACAGACCTGCCATGTATCTTGTATCCGTCTGAGCTCATGACGAAACCCAGTCAGTATATCGCAGTAGCCCATCCATCTCTGATGGAATGATCTCATCACTGCCACCACCCCGCCATTGTCGGCGCGGCGGGAGGAAATGGGGAGCAGGTGCTAACTGCCGCCCTCGGAGGCCGCGGCGACTCTCTCAATCGCAGCCTATCTCCAGTGGTGTACCTTTGTGGCGTGTTGGGGTCGACCACCTCAGTCCCCGCCCGCCCGCACCGGTCGGGGGAAGGTAATCGACACTGGCTGGGAATCGAACTATTTCAGCTCGGTCACCAAAGTCCTCCGCCGCCGCCGGTCGGTGGAGATCGAGCAAATCTAGGTCGGTCACCCAACTCGACCGTAATCTTCCGGCTGTCGTGGCTCGCTGATAATCAAACCATTCCAAGTCGGTTACTTACTTCAGTCCCCTCACTGCCGTTCAGTCGCTAGAGTATTGGAATAATTCCAGCGCTGGTTGCCTTACAGAAGACGACGCAGAGCTGTGCTTTTTGCTGACTATTTCGTCCCGGTCGATGGGGGATTATGGAACGGCTCGCTATGCGTCAGCGCTGGTGGCGAAGATTTTGTGACGTCACCCGCGCTGTGAGCCACGAATGTATCCGGCTGGTTGTGACGGTCGGCGGCGGTGCTCTTATGAGACAAATTAACACAATCGCGACACTTCCTGCAGGTGTCGTTTTCGCCGATCTAATGATCGCTCGTCCTGGGCTCTGTTCGTCGATGGCGCAGCCGATTGAAGATCATATACGTATGTTGTTCAGCATAGGGCAGTAATAGTTCCGGACAATGTGTCCTTATCTCCATCTCGCGGCTCTGCGCAGTCACTGCGTCTCCGTCGGTTCCTCCATTTCCCTCTGAGCGGCCGTTCCGTCGCCGGCGACGCTGTCCGCCCCGCCACATTCCTCGGCTTGTTCGCTGCCGGCAGCACTACCAGCCCCGACTGTCCTGGTCCAGCCTGTCCTGGTCCTGCCGTCGGTGGTGCCGGCGCTACCTGCCCCGTCACCTTCCCAGCCCGTCGGTACGGGGACCCGCAGTTGCTACTGTACACGAACCCCAAGTCTAACCGTCTGTCCTGTCCAGTAACAACCGATAACATTGATATCGACTGCTGGTCCCTGTACAAGAGCAGCTGAGGTTTCCTGTGAGTACCCTCTGACAGCTTATCGTTGTTCCCTGTGAGGGTGCTGGGACAATTTACTCAGGGTCGCTGTACAGTAGCAACTGCGGGTCCCTGTACCGCCGGCGCTTTGTGCCCCGTCACCGTCGCCAGCCCGTCGGCGCCGACGGACGGTCGTCAGGCGGGGGCGGCGCCGGCGTCCGTCAGCGTGCCGCCGGCGACGGACGCTGATGGCGCGACGCCCCGCGGTGGCGGCGGCCTCTTGGGCGGCCCTTCCGCCGTCCACGCCGGCATTTTTACACATAAACAGGCGGTCCGTGTTGATAGTGCTGCGGGCCGGCCGTGGGGAAACAGTTTATAGGGGCGGCGACGGGCGCGGCGAGCACGGCCCGCCGGCGTGCCTCACTCTGTGACCGCTGGCCGTGCCGGCCGCGCTGACTAGTGACCGTGCTGACGTGCTGATCGGACGCTGAGCTGGCGTGCCGGCAGCAGCAATGGCGCGGCCACCACGGCGGCTGCGAGCTGCCGCTGCAGCCGCCGCTCTGGTGGATGGCCGGCCCGCTGCCCAGTCACATCCAGGTCAGAGATGGGTCACTCGGGCAGAGTCTATATAGATGCTTCGGTGGGCGCTCTTTTATAGGCTGTAACTACTTCAGGCAAATCCTTTTACTGTAACCGCTAAGAAGATTTGGAGACACTCTGCCAGGAATTTTGAACTGTAGAGGCGCTTGGTCTTAGGCTTTGAAGGTCAGGGACCCTGCTAATGACGGTAGAGAAACCCGGCTCGAGGCTGTAGAGACACTCGGCCTGAGGGACTGCTCAGGAGACTCGGTCAAAGTCAGGTCAGGGTACTCTTCTGGAGGCTACGGACTCGGAGGACATTTCGGTCAGAGACTGCGAATGGCGCTCAGTCGGAGGCCAGGCCAGGGATAGCATTCACAGATGTTAGGTCAGGTCAGAAGAGCTGTGTCAGGTCAGAGGTCAGAACCGTGGCCAATTTTCACTGCTGGGCCGGGGATTTTCACTCATAACCGTCAGGGAGTGCGATTTGCGGAGGACAGAACCAGGGCCCAATCTTACCAAATGCCGTGAATGCGCATTCACGGCATTTGGTAACATTCAAAACTATTCCACATTCACTTATTCATCCGTTCTGGCGACATTCATAATCATTCGCGCTATCAAAATCATTGGACAAGATTACCTGGAGGTAAATAAAAAGAACATCTTTAATATCAGTGCCGTAAACTCCGGCCAGTGCTGCCAAATCCTATTCACGGCATTGTTAAGATTGGGCCAGGATCTGTAGAAGTTCGTATGGGCCAAAACGTTCAGTAAGAGGTAAAATAACTCGAACACTGGGGCTTGGTTTTTATTTAGTTAGAAAGTCGAACACACATACGTTACTGTGGGCGTGGAATAATTCATTGAGTCCTCGATGCACTATCCAGAGCTGAGTTTGGTTCTTTGCAGGGAAACCTGTTGGTATGGACGTCGTGGCTCAGTTATCTTATCTGATTTTTACTTCACTTGTGTTGGAACTTGGAACTGATTACACCAACGGTCATCGATTATTGATGAGAGATCCTGGTCAAACCTGCATCATGTCACTAAGCCTATTCTCAAAGCAGCTACATGAATTCTCATTCCTTGAATCTTAACTTGACAATAAATGCTAATCTAGTCTCGTAATGCGTTACTCCATCTGCCTTATACAAAGTGGGGTCATTTTGCGGTTCATTCGTTAGATAAGAATGATATAAGGAGCAGTAAAGCACCCAAGAACAGGACAATTTGGGGCGATCACGCAAACGCATAATGTATGCCGTGGTTAGCAGCAAAAGCGAGTAGGTTTATCCCGGCTGTTATATAGCCGCAATAAAGAGCTGCGTCAGAACATAACGGCGGTGCGTGACCGGCTGAGGCGGCGAGGGCGTTGTGCTTCAGCCTCCGGCATCCAGCGGCTCGAGCTAGCGGTCCCGCTCCCCGGGGCGTCCGATCAACTTCCGAGGTTCGGCCGGGTCTTGCATTGATATACGAGTATGGACGTCGTGTATAACATGGGTACGGACCTCGTACGGACTCGACGCATAACATGGGCACAACCAATCCTTTGCAGCGTAAGTTTGGATTTTTTCATCGTTGCGAAATTCGTCTCATTTGTGCATGGCTATTTGATTTGGGAGTCTATGAATCCCCGAATTTTGAGAAGAAAATTCGTGCTGGCGAATCCGATCTAGACAGACTTCCATAATATTCATCAAGCTACTGCATTTTCCCATTTCAAATCACGGTACCTTTCTTTTGCCAATTTCAAATAAAACTTCTCCTCGCGCCAAAAAGACTTAGTCGGATGAATGTTTAATAAGTTTTCGCGTGAAGCCTACGAACTGAGACGATTCGCCGCCCCGGGGAGCCATAGCTGTTAAATCCGTCCACCCACCGGAAGTGGTCCACTTCCGGTCAGCGACCCGGACCCGATCGAAGCGGTCTCATTCGGAGGTCGGTCAGCGGGTCGAGTGAGGTGGTGGGTGTTGCGAGGAGCCGTGGGAGGCGCTGGGTGCAGGGCTGGGGACTGGGGAGGCGCTGGCTGGGTGCATGGGTGGGGACTGGGGAGGCGCTGGGTGCACGGCTGGGGACTGGGGAGGTGTCAAGTCAATCCGCCGCTCTGACGCCTCACCTATCGCGGTGGGCGGGGACAGCTAACAGGAACACACACACGTGAAGGAGCACGTGCTGACGGCCCACGGTGATCGATGAACAGTGTCCGTCCCGTATGGGCGGGATGGAGATCACGTAACAGAGTACCTATAGAGCAGCGCTGGATTCGGCGCAGCGCTGATAGGCGAGCTTGCTATGTGTGGTATCCGGACTTGTTAAGGGTTGTATTGCATAATACAACGTGTATTCAATGGAAATTGTAGTTGTTAATTTAGACAATCGAAGGATTTGAAAAGGATCTCGGGGCTATTTCGAACAATATCCAATACAATATACAATATCCTATTTAAAATGATTTGCTAAATTACGTAGGTTTCACGTTTGAATGTTAACCCGCGCCCTGCTGGGGGGTGTTTGAACACCCCCCTTGTGGTTTTTTGCGAATATCTCAAAAACGGCGGCGTGGAGCGCCGCCGTTTTTGGTACACCTTATCATACATCAATTCTACACATGTTGTGAAAATTTCAGACCAAGGTCATTCAAGGTCAGGTCACCAGGTCACTTGAAGTGACCTCACCTCATAAAAAGTTTCAATGTCTGTCATAGCTACACCGAGTGACTGATCGTTTTGAAACTTTCAGCGATTGCTAAGAGCAATAGCATGTACAAAATGTATATCTCAGAATTTTGATATCGATGACCTAAGGTCAGGTCAATTTTGCGACATTCCCATTATAAGTCAATGGGAGAAAATTGAAATAAGCGTCTTTTGGACAAAAGACATTATAAACACTCCCAAACACCGAATTACAAGTGGTTCAGACACACTGAACATGAAAATGGTGTCCGTGACCCTTGTTTATGCCCTGAGGTCATCTTAGGTCACGAATGGTATCGTTTTTCGCAAATAACTTTTGATAGAGGCATGCTAGAGCGATGAAAACGCCTTAGATGTGTTCAGCTCGACGATACGGATCGACTGATATGCAACATGACCATTTCCGGACAGGTCATGACCTTGACCTGAGGTCAAATTTTTAAGTTGACCTTTCAAGGTCAACTTATAGTTCATTCGATGCGTCTTGACGAGAGGAACACAATGCCGGTAAAAGTAAGCTCGCACATGGCTTGGGTCAAAAGTTATTGCAGAAAAGCTTTCCGAAAAAAATCGGCTATTTTTGCAGTTTTTGCCCCCTGCAGGCAAAACCGTTGACGTTAGGTCAAATCTGAGAGAATTACTCAGAAAGGGCTTTAATAGGGCTATCGAATGCGCTTTTCCGCGGCGCTGTAGCTCTATTGGTTCTCGAGTTATGCGTTGGCTTCTTGGAAATTTTCGACATTCGACCTGGAAATCGGCGAAATTTTGCCTTCAATGACCTCTGGTGACCTGACCTTTGACCTGACCAAAAATTGACCGAATTGATTTCGTCATTATTTTTGACGCTCTTTCGAACGCCGCCTTCCGCGTATCGCTACGTGACCCAGGAGCCGAGTTACAAGGGGGGGGGGTGTTCAAACACCCCCCCCCCCCCCAGCAGGGCGTGGAAATCCAGGACCCCCAGCCGGGCGCGGGTTAATGGTCAGTAGCTTTAATGTCAACTGCCGGAAACCATGCAAGCTCCTACATAGATATATTTACAGGAGCTTCAACGAAGTGGCTTTTTTGATCAGATAGGTATATGCATGGCATTTGTTTTTTACTCTTACTATATATTTAACATTGACGAAGAGCTGACATTTTGATCTGTCAAACATTGCAAAACTCTTACCTACCATAGGTTAGGTATATCACTTCTTCGGTACTTAACAAAATGACCACCATGGCTCTCAGGGCAGAAGGGTTCCTTACATGGGAATCAGTCGAGTATGAAAACATGGGACTGATGCGGAATGGTGTAGTTACCTCAACCGGTAACTGACTGGTTTAATGTCTCCGTTATGTGCTCTTCACACAATTCGACAGCCCTCGAAATCACTTGAACGATGCTGTAAATTTTGTGAATTTTCACTCAGGTTCAATTTGTGGCCGTTAATAATTCGATAATGCCAGCGTCAGCCGCCATTTTCATTCCCCTAGAAGCCGGCCCTCACTGTGACTAGAATAGTCCAGTGAAATATTAGCACGAACATTTATCTTTGCTGACCTTCACGCCGTTGTAAGTTTGTCTATCGTGAATCGCGTCTGGTGGCTGGGTAACGCCCAACTCGGCCGGACCGAGACGGGGCGGCACAATCAGATGGAGGCTGAGGTAATTTGACTGCTGATAAGTGAGGGCACTGACTGTCGGGGAAAGGGTCGGCACAGGTCACCGTCGCGTCGGTCGGTGGGGAAGGGCGGGACTTTGATAAGGCAGCTCTGTCCGCCGACGTGGTTCGTTCAGGTCACTGTCGGTCGGTTGGTTGGGGGAGGGGTGCTGCTCACTGTTCAGTGATCATATTATTGCTGGTCGATCAGAAGTTAGTTCAAATCACTGTCCATCGATGGAGGTGGGGTAGTTCAGTTCACTGTCGGACGGCGTGCCTCGTTCAGATCGTCATCTGTTGGTTGCGGTATTTAGTGAGGAGCTGTTTGAATCATTGGTCGATCAGGGGTCGGCTCACGTCACTGTCTGCGGGTATGGTTCGTTCAGGCTCCCGTCTGTCGATGTTATAGAAGCCCAGGTCACTCAAACGTTACGACCAACCCGTGGCAGTAAGTGTGCAAAGCGTTACTACTTATGGAAGGGTCAGGCATCTGACCTACCCATCCGGATGGCTCAAGCAGACTGTCAAAAAGACGTTACCTTTACTTCACTTATGTCTTAAAAATATCTGATCATTTGAGCTTCGTCGACCGTGCTCACCAGTGTGTCGCTCACTCTACTATAAACTCCTTCCTCTCCTCCGTCAGATGCAGCGTCTGTCGGACCCGCGCGAGCGCCAGTTCCTGTACAGAGGCGGCACAGTTCACCCCTCCTCCCTCCGTCAGATGCAGCGTCTGTCGGACCCGCGCGAGCGCCAGTTCCTGTACAGAGACGCCACAGTTCACCCCTCCTCCGTCAGATGCAGCGCCTGTCGGACCCGCGCGAGCGCCAGTTCCTGGAGGCGGCACAGTTTACCCCTCCTCTCCTCCGTCAGATGCAGCGTCTGTCGGACCCGCGCGAGCGTCAGTTCCTGGAGGCGGCACAGTTCACCCCTCCTCCCTCCGTCAGATGCAGCGCCTGTCGGACCCGCGCGAGCGCCAGTTCCTGTACAGAGGCGCCACAGTTCACCCCTCCTCCCTCCGTCAGATGCAGCGTCTGTCGGACCCGCGCGAGCGTCAGTTCCTGTACAGAGGCGCCACAGTTCACCCCTCCTCCCTCCGTCAGATGCAGCGTCTGTCGGACCCGCGCGAGCGCCAGTTCCCGTACAGAGGCGCCACAGTTCACCCCTCCTCCCTCCGTCAGATGCAGTGTCTGTCGGACCCGCTCGAGCGTCAGTTCCTAGAGGCACCACAGTTCACCCCTCCTCCCTCCCCCAGATGCAGCGTCTGTCGGACCCGCGCGAGCGTCAGTTCCTAGAGGCACCACAGTTCACCCCTCCTCCCTCCGTCAGATGCAGCGTCTGTCGGACCCGCGCGAGCGTCAGTTCCTGGAGGCTGCAGAGCGTGGCGACATGGCCACCATGGTACGGCTGGCCTCGGAACCGGAGCCGGTCAATGTCAACTGCACCGACATGCTCGGACGGTCGGCGCTGCTTATCGCCGTCGACAACGAGAACGCAGAGATCGTCGAGATGCTGCTCAAGTACGAGGCCGTTATTACAGGTGGGTAATGGGTGTCCTGGCGTCATCACAGGTGGGTAATGGGTGACTCCTGCCGTCATCACAGGTGGGTGCTGGGTGTCCTGCCGTCATCACAGGTGGGTGCTGGGTGTCCTGGCGCTATCACTGCTGGGTGCTAGGTGTCCTGCCGCTATCACTGGTGGGTACTAAGTCTCATGCCGTCATCACAGGCGGGTGCCGGGTCTCCTGCCGTCATCACAGATAGACGCTGTCTCTCATCTGGACTCTTACGCAAGGACGCATGCCTATCCATCGTAGAGGTAGGGATTGGGAGTTGCTTGGAGGGCGATAAGTGGGAATGCTTGTCGCGAGTTGTTCACGTGGCAAACAACTAGCATGTGTGGCGATTTAGAGCTTCTCAATTTAAGTGTGGAGGGATTCCGGTCATTTTTTACCATAGGAGATTCCGTAGTATGCATACAAACATGTTTTGCCATACTCCATGTTGGTGTAGTTTGATTTTTACTCTGTTGGCCTGCTGGGTTTTCAATTTTTGTTTATTTCAATCTTCAAAGTCCTCGCAAACTTTTCAAATGACATGCATTCAGGAACAGTTTCTGCTCCAAGCAGGCTGGGTGAGCCTTCGCTGGAAACCGATGTCATATCCGCTAGAAACCGACGTCAATGTCGATGGTCGGTAACCGCCACCAAATTAACATGCCTGTACCTGTCGCTGTCAGCTTGTGATCTGTTCGTACAGCCGCCGCGCCGGCTGCAGATCACTGACAGCTCAAAAGGGTGCCCAGAGCCGTCCTTTAGCTGGCTGTTGCCGACCGATTTGCATCACTTATTACATTTACGGCGACTGCTTTTGAAACACTTTGTAGGTAAATGTCTCATAACTCACAAGAGGCTTGTTCGCTGCTCGTTTCTCAGATGTTGTCATCACATCTTCATTCATGGCGGTGGCAGCTTCATGGGAGGTTTAGACGCTCAGCATAATCGATTGTCGTTCCGCTGAGACCTTGACAGTGCCAGCGTGCCGCTGACAGAGTAAATTAACTCGTCGGAAACCGATTTGATAGATGCCGAGCCGCCCGCTTAGCATGCGTTCCAGGTGAGTCAGGGTAATGGACTACCAATCTGCTTTACTAGTCAGCCTTCATGGAAGCTATTGATTCCGATGGTCATGACATTGGCCTTCATGACTGAAGACATCGACTGTGCGGTGGGTTTCCGTCGACCTTATAATAGTTAGCCTGTCTTATATGGTTTTGGACAGCCTGAAGACATATGCACGGCTCGTCTGATAATTGGAAACTGTCCGTAACATAAGGCAAACATAATTCACATCAACAGTGATTTGTTGCGCGGGGCTCACTGTATTTATTGACAATAATGTGCACTTGACAGGCTTATACTTTATACTTGATGATTTGGATCCCCATTACGTCGGCTGAAGTTATCCAAAGGTCGTTTTAGGTGCGAGGCACGATATTTGAATGGGCGTCACCTCTGCCGCGGGCCATTAGGTTCCGTAATTTGCCTAATCCCGAATGTGCGGACCAATTTCCCGTTCAGTCACGGCCGGGGTCGCAGTTCCTCGTCAGTATCAGGTGACCTTTGCCCTGTGACGCGGGCTCATCGCTGGGCGCGAGCCTGTGCCATCCCCGGGTCACTAGGCGGCCGGGTGACTGACCGTCTCTGAGGAACTACAGACACCAGCGACCTGTTGGCTAGCTCTACAAACTGATAAGTCCATTTATGTCTCACGCCGTCTCGGGCCCTGTGTCGTCCTTTTAGGTTATGCAGTATGCACTGTGCGTTGTCGCTCTCTTCACTCCTCCCCTACATGATCCCCAACACTCCCCTGTTAGTGCGCTGTGAATTCGGGCTGGATCTCCCTCCCGCTGGCATGCAGACCTATGGCGATGGGGTCTCAGGTAATGACAAGGTCATTGGAGGGGATGAATAATTAGTATGAATGGTCTCAATGCATGCGTCAGTGCATTAAATTAATTAAAAGAAAAAATTGGCGCAAAACGACCTTAGAAGTCGGCGCGCCCTAAAGCCGTAATAAACAACCAAACAAACATGCGTTTAAAAAAATCGTTTAATATCTCCCTCCTCATGCATGTCTTCACTTTTAGCGTAGTTCTCTTGCAGCTCAACATCCCTAAGCTTTCACGATTTGCACTATAGTGTTCCTCCGAATTCGCATATGTATGGTTCTCCCGCCAGTGTTTACGAGTCCACTGTGCCAGTCTTGCCGCGTACCCAGCATGACCTCCGTCTTTCTCGTTAGGCGGCCGACAAATGCGGTCCTGTTACCCGAAAAGGCCTAATTACCTCGTGGGCTGCAGAGTATTTCAAGACTCATAAGGTGCATGGGGTCGTGGGGCCAGATTTATTGTTAAAATAGATTCTCAAAGTTCAACCGGTTCCAGATTCTCTAATCGCTACACTGAAATGCTCTTACTACACAACTAGGTACTTGCACAATACACAGACTTCTTTGTCCGGTAACCAATTTTTGTTTGTCTGTGTGTATTTGTTTCTTTTTTGGGTGGGGGGGGGGGTTGAGAGTTGGTTCTTCTCTGACGGAGCATCGCCACATTGAGCAGCGGCCGACCAAAAGTTCACAGTCGTCATTCGCTGGCGGGGGGGGGGGGGGTCGGCGGAAGAGGCCAGCGCGCAATCTGCGACCGCCGCGACTGATGTGTGTCGAAATTGACGCGCTCGCCGGTGAGCGTGCGCCTCCGTTAGTGGCCCGCGGTCACGATGTCTTGCTCCGCTCTGTGACGCGGACGTCGGGAGTTTGTCCAGACGTCCGTGTCGGAGTATCGAATGAGACAGCGTCGGCGGCAGTAACTGGATAAGCGTCATCACTCGAGTTCGCACCGGAGCAGCCCTGCGCAGTATCGCCAGCAAGGCGTCCCGGCGGCAGCCCGGCAGAGATCATCACCGGCCATCGAGATCGAACGGCTTAGTTTCGAACGAACTGAGGCTAAAAGTAAGCGGCAATTAGAGGAAATGTCTCCGGCTTGATAGGAGCTCTCTAGCACCGCTGCTCCTCGAAGGGATGAAGTTTTTAACTAACTCTGTGTTTAAAAGAAAGAGAGGTAGGTACTCTTTTTAGCGAATCAATGACAGTGACAACGACAGCGAATCAGTCAGGAAGCTGAACTGCAGATTGAATGTCTCAGCTTTTTTTGACGAAGCAAGTTTTTTATTATTGGTTTCTAACATTTACCTGTGTAGACAATGCCTTTTCCTCCGCTACCTTGTAAGGATAATGAAATTAATATAACTTTATCCGAAACCGTTAATTCTTTTTCGCCACCCAATATCCGTGATGGTAGTTCTGGGAGGCCGCCGCTGCCTATCGTTCTCCTCCCGGCCGTTGTGGGCCTTTCTATGGGGCCGTCGCTGTGGCCCACTCGAGGCTGCCCACGCAGCAGTGGCGCCGACAGCCGCGGCCATTGTCTGTACACGGCACGGGCTGCACGTGCTGACAGCGGCCCTCTCGGGACGCCGCGGCCGCACATTCCCAGAAACCGGCGCAGGTTTCCGCGGCCGGAGATTCAGCAATATTGCCGGCGCCGCCGAGTGGGGCGCGATTCCAATCAGCTATCGGGCCTGATCCAGCTCAACGTGGTCAGCCGGGAAATGACCAATGCATAGTTTTTTAGTTACCCCCGAGTGCATCAAGATAATGAGCCAAGTGCTACAAAAGGTCCGCAGTCTGCCTTTCTCACATGCGATGATTGGCTATAGCCTATAGGCATTACATTCCCAATGACGTTGGAGACTACAGTAAAAAAGAGGCCCGTAGAGCTTCGAATATTTCTCGTCGCCGTACTTCTTTTTCACAATAGCATAAGAAAATATGAAGCTATTGTAATTTAATGCCTATGTATGTTTAATCATCCATTCGATGTCGGTTTTTGTTTGAACTGTTCTCTCATATAGTGGCCGTCTTCTCATTTGGGCTGTCGGTGACCGCCCTGCACGACCCCTCGCCCCCGCCCTCCCCCCTCCAGCTGCGTCAGTGCGTCACGTGCCCCACAGACTCTGATTGCCCTGGGCCGGTCGGCGGCCGACCCCGCAAAGGGCGCACCACACCTCATTATGAGTCTGCCGACCCCCGACCTGCCATTGGTCGGTGGGTAGAACCCTATATACTCTGGGCAGCGCCAGCAGCGCGCCGCGTGCAAATAGACAACTATCGATCTCAGCCGGTTACCTGCTGCAATTAGAGATAAGTGTTTATTTTTACGGATCATTGATTAAAAATCACGGTACCTGGACAATGTTTTGATAGCTTTTACCGTTTGTTGAAAGTAGGTGTTTAAGATCTAGGGGACCGCAAATGAAATTGATATGAATAAGATGCATACGATGGTAATGTGAATTGTAAAGGCAGAGGTCTATGTTTGCAATAATGTAGCAGTGATGGGCGATCTAAAGATACACGGTCAAACTTTGGCACTTCCGACTTTGGTGCGACACCCTGAAAAGCAAGAGATTGACCGTGGGAGTGATTCGAAGTTGGTGTGAAGTTCTATAGGCACGAGGCTGTTGAGATTAGAACCGTGGCTGTAGCTGGTCAGTTCTTAGGTCTCAGGACCTGACATCCTCGAGCTCCTTTCTATTGGACAACCCCGACGTGCACCGTCACAACCCAAATATTCCGGGGAAGACCTCAATGATTAGCAGCGAAGCCGACTTCACTATACCTGTCGACTTCACCAGGAGTGTCACAGAGGCCGCACGTCGTCGACCCGAACCTGAACGTTCTTGGCCGAACGTTCGTTGCTTTCGCGAGGAAAGTGACGTCTCTTTTTAACAAGTTCTTAGCACGCCCCATTGAAATGATTCATGATGGTGCTATGCGATATGAATTATGTGGAATGATTTCTCTCGTCTCTCTTCTACCAGCCATCCTTGATCAGTCTTTCAAGTTTCATTGTGGCTGTATTACCAAAAAAAGATCACCGATACGGGTTACAAGTGACAAATTCTTGTTCTTAAAAACATTGGTAGCTGCACCAAACGACATGCAGCTTATTCTCAAAATCTATGCGACAAACTTCAATAACTAAGGCATTGACTCCATTTTGCATACCCATACCCCCAGGCACCTCGAATTACTAGTGGATTCCTTTGTTCTGCTGCAAATCACTCATGGTAGCGTGGCTCACCCAAACGCCAACATTAATGTCCTCATTTAAAGTCAGATTTTCTCGAGGATTTTCATGAAATCTTTCATCACAGCGCAGAGAGCAACACCGCATGTGTTTCATTTCACGTCACATTAGGGCATCTGCATAATGCATGCCACATCAGTGAGTGTAATTTGCTGAAGACGCGGCTCGTGGGGTGCTATCTCGGCCGAGTTATCCGCGTGCGGGCCCGTGCCAGCGTGGCACGCAGCGGCGTCCACAGGCGCGCACTCCACAGGCGGATATGATGCATATCGTACTCGTATACGCTCCTGGTCAGAGTCACTGTACAGGCCAGCCGATGGACGGATTTATGGACCGACGAGCAGTGGATGCCGGCCTGCCTGGCAGCTTTCCTCTGATTTGATTGGCTGTACCAGTGGTCTAATTGTGTTAAGTCATGTTCAATTTGTGAGTAAGTCATGTCCTCATGACCTTGCCTTCCCCAAGGACGAAGTGCTGAACCAGTGGCCCTGATACTGCTAGTTCATCAACTGACCCTGACCAGTGACCTGACCTGATTCGTCTCCTCCTCCGTCAGGTAACGCGCTGATGCACGCTATCGCCGAGGGCTCATACAAGATCGTGGAGCTGATAGTTCAGCACCCGTCCATCCAGAGCGATATGCTCTCCTCACCGCTGCCGCCCTCCGAGAGAAGCGACGCGCCGCCCGGCGTGTCGCCCATCATGATGGCCGCTCAGTGCAACCAGTTCGAAATCCTGCAGCTCTTTCTCTCATACGGTGAGCGGTGGGCTCGAAATCCGGCAGCTCGTCCAGCCGTGGTGAGTGATGTGGCTGAAATTGGGTGTGATCAGAGTCTTGAGGTTCATCGTGTGCTATGTGATAGGTTGATGTACTCGAAACGTTGTGGTTTACTCAGTGTGTGATACGGTGACATATGGGGTGGAAATCGTTCGGATATACCGTGAGGCTGGTAATGTTCGCTGCAATATGCAGAGATTCGGGGAACGTTGTGACTCAGAATGTCGGCGCGTCTCACAACTTTTAAGTTCCATACTAACATCTTGCGCGAAATCATTGTCTCGTAAACTTATATTGTAGCTGAAGTCCTATCAACTACGACTTCGCAGCTGAAATCCCATAACCGATCTTGAAAATCAACCTTGCCCACGTTGCACAGCTTCTCGTCTGCTGTTAGTGATACCGCTAGGCAGGTTGAACGCCTTCTGTCAGTGGTGCCTTCGGTAACAGCTACTCGTCTAATTAATTAGCCAGTGCGCTCGTCGTCAGACCTCTGACGTCATGACTCCGTACGGTGTCGCCTAACCGAGGTATGTTACCTCAGCTGCACGTTAAAATTAGGCCGGCTGTCGTCATCAGTTCCTCAAATATTCAATCTCAGCTGCGGTTGAGACGCAAACGATGATTAGCTCCGGTTTCAGTCCTCCACCTCCGTTTAGTTTTTCCAGACCTAGTTATACTTATGACGTCATGGAGAGGACAGTTCTGCCGACAACTGCGGCGCTTTCATCGCGTGCTTCTGCGAGTTTTCGGCCACTTATGACTGATAAATGTCTGTCTGGAGACATTACCAGGCGGAGTTTCGGCTGCGCCCAGCCCTAACTGGGCGATCCATTCCGCAGTGTGCCCAATGTTACCCCAGACCAGGTGCTCGGAGGAGACTGGGCCTGTGAGAACCCCGGGCCCGGCCGCCGGATCGGTCGGCTGGCCGGGCCAGATGCCGTACGTCATTGGAATGGGCGACATTGTTAGACCCGGTACAAATCGGAGAATGGTGGGAGATTACAGAGGCATTGAACCCGGCCGCTCCGTTTGATCTCGGCTATTACAGGGTGTCCCAGAATTACCCGGACATTTATTTTCTGGCTAAAAGTACGACTACGCTCGCTTCTAGTGATATACAAGCATCATACTTTTATAAGATATCCCTTAGCTATCGAGATTGGGGACTGTGTGCTTTTGGTGGCCGGTAACGACTCGAATCAATTATTATCCAGAGTCAAGTAAGAGTAGTCCTTTTCCGTTTTCAGCTTAAGCCACTAATAGGCTACCATGGTGAATCAACTCCCGTTCTCAACTTTGTAAACGGACTTTCGGCATGGTTTTTGCTGGAGAGCTTCAGCAGCTCATCTGCAAGCAGTTAGGATTGAGCAAAGCGCAATTATATCAGCTAACGAAGCCAGAGAGAGCAAGAGATAAACCTGATTGACAAGCTTGGGCTCGGCCAAAAAGGGCCATGCACCAGTTGTCAAACAAGTGGTTGCTTGTCATAGACAACAAACGTCACCGATCTAGCTAAAAACTAGCTAAACAATAGATCAGGATTATCTACAAAACATCAGTCTACTTTGCACCACTATCTTCGACAAAATTTTGGAATTTGGAGCCCGTCGCCAGACAAATATGCGAAAACTACGGGAAAGGCAGCGCAAATCACTACAATTCATCCCAAAAACATAACATATACAACAAAACAGTATATTGAGGCACACTTTGTGGTCTAACGAAGGTATTATGTCATTTGAACCGCCCGAAAAAGGCTTGTGTGAACGTCAGATGGCTACCACTCCCCAACAGCAGAGACGGCCAGGCACCCGTCGAAAATCAAATTGTATGACATTTTGAGCCACCGTGCACTCATTAGTCATTGGGCTTGATATGATGGCCCAAAGACAACCGTTTACTGCGGTAATATTCTACCAGTGCGAAAACTGGATGCCGTGAACCAAATGGCCATGAACGGGTTTGTTTTGGAAACCAAATCTGTTGGAAGCCAAAGGTTGCGCAATGTTCAGACATGGAGCTTCTCCACTCCAGATGTAAAAAACGCAGCAAAAGTGGCGTAGGCAGACATTTTTGTTTTGGGGGATAATACCTTATGGCCTGGGAACACTTAAATGTCAAGGTTATCTTATATGATCGTATTATCCTCCGGCAAGAGGTCAAAGAAAACAGGCCTACACCCAGTTTCGGGAGACCCGTAAAACAACTGAGACCAGCAATGGCTGGCATTTTTCCATCATTGTCGGCTGATCTTGTAACAAGCGTATCTATTGCATGTGCTATTTCACAGCCACCCTAGTTGACTATATAGGACGGTAAAAAGAAAAAAACGCAATCATGTTTGCCTTATTTTATACGCTAATTAACCCGCGAGTTGCTGGGGGGGGGGGCGTTAAACGCCCCCACTTTTTTCGCCGGGCCATAGCATAAAAACGGCGCGCCGCAGGCGCGCCAAATTTTGGGTACCTGTAGGGAATTGATTGAAGTGTATTGTGACAAAGTTTCAAAAAAATCGGTCGGAAAATTTTTGAGATATCGAGGTTTTAGTGACGTCATGATTTCTGAGTTTTCGACCAAAAACGGCATATGTTCAAAAAATCGTATAAAATCACAGAATAGACATACAGACATGCCGTAAACGCCATTAGACTGCCAATACCATGAACAATCAAATGGCTATCTTCGATTATTGATTATCGTACCGTATATTCCAAAATCTTGAACTGAATCTTGGCAATTTCTCGTGACTACTTCACGACCATGATACATGCATCTCTTAAATTGAACTTTTTGAGCCAAACACGTACACATATGATAAAATGAATGTCATCATCGTGTTCTACGCCCCAAATTACCCATAAAACATGTGTCACAGGCTGCGAATATCAGTTTTGATTTTCGGGGATATTTGCCTACCCGGTTGTCCTGACCTTGACCCTGACCTATGCATGACTGACCCCTACATGGAGCTGACACTCTTGTAGGCCTTATATGATGGATTGTGCACCGTCTTGACAGAGTTTATGACAATAGGAGCCCATTGCGAAGTTCCGAAGTCCATGGTACTGAAAGCTCGATTTCAGGTGTTTGACCTGACCTTGACCCGACCTGTGACCTCAAAATTCAACTTTAAAGTACTCATCTGAAGCGTCTCGTCGCGTTCTTTCGTTTGCCGCCTCGTGCGTTTCGCTGCGCCTATTGGTTCTCGAGTTATCGGCTGGGGGCGTTTAACGCCCCCCCCCCCCCCCCCAGCAAACGGTGGGTGGCGAAATACCCCAGCAACTGCCGGGTTAACAATGTCCGGGTAATGATGGGACACCCTGTAGGCGATTTACAGGATCAACCTTATAGTACATATATTTAGGCACTGCTCAGTGGCAAACGAATAGCAATGACATCAACTGCATTCGGCTACGCTTGGAAATTTGTAAGTTTTATGTGAATTGCAACACAATTTTACAAGACAGACTACCATTCAGGTCTCTGATTCTATCACTAAGTACGCACCCGCTCGCGCCACGTGCCGTTCAGTCTCGCCGCGCGCCCATCACGGTGCGTTTATTTCCCGTCGGCCGGTGTGTGTGTGTGTGTTAATTGCTCAGCTGCATGAGCGGACCGGCGATCACGGATGTTTAACCGAGACCGGCGAGAGCGGGCTCTGCCATCAACAGCACCATTGTTTGGAGGTGCCGGCGGCGGCCATACCGGTCCTGTGCTCCGGGGCGGCCGAGTACCAGTCCTGAGTTCGGCACCAACTCCGGGGTGACCAAGTACCTAGTGACCGTGCAGAGGGAGAACCAAGTACCGCGTAACTCTGCATGGGGGCAGGCCGAATACCACGCAATCGTGCAGGGAAAAGACCAGCCATATCAGGACCTAGTGGCAACGTGAAAAAGTCTTCGACACCACAAACATAAAACAGTTGCATGAAGAGCATTCTGCGGGGCCTTACGATCGTCAATTTTGTACACTCTGGCCTCGTACTTCAAGGGTTAATAGTAGTTTCGAAATGCCACGACTATTTCGGAGACTGACCAGCATTTATTTGAAGGCTTTAGGGCTGCACTTTGGCCTCCATTTTACCGCAGGGTCCAGGGGCTGAACAGCTTCTGCAGCTCCAAGTGTCCTTCGTTTATCTGAGTGGGCGTGATTCGGCCAGTGACGTAAAGAACTCCTTTTAGGACCCGGGTAAAATTACAGAAAGACCCTGTCAACAGCGGCGCCAATTTCATTGAGTGCGGTCGGTATCCCCCTCCGCCGCGGCCCGGCCCGTTCAATCATCTCCAGATGCGTACAGGTAGGTATCTCTCTGATGGACAAATCTCCCCAGTATGTGTCTCTCTTTTGCGGCACATCTCACTAGCAGGTATATTTTTGATGTGACGCATCTCGCCAGTAGGTAGCTATATATCTGATGTGACATATCACCAACAGGCGTCTGGTAAGACATCTCGCCGGCAGTTATCTCTCTGATCTGACATCTCACCAGCGGTTCAGGTATCTCCCTGCCGCGGCACATCTCTCAGCGGCCCGTGCCGTGCGCGAGCGGCGGTGACCTCCGAGCACCAAATAGGCTGGAGGGGGGGAGGGGGTGATCGACTGGGGACGGGTCGATCGAGAGGCCGCAGTCCTTCTGGTATTGATGCCCGGCCGAGCCCACTTCAACACGTCTCTCCGGGCGGTGGTTGGCGACTATAGACAGTCTCGGAGCGCCGGCGGGGGTCCAGTTCCACCGGAGGCGCCGCCCGGGGTCTGATTTCGCCAGAGGCGCCGCACGGCCCGGGGTCTGATTTCGCCAGGGGAGCGGCCGAACGGCGCCGGATGGCGGATCTGTGACAATTAGGAGTGCGCTTTAATGTGATATGAGATAGGGCATGGACGAGACTCACCGTGATATAATTTCAAATCTGGTTAATAATACAATTCAAATTATTAGCTGTAGGTATATTTAGCTTGATCAAACCATGCGGGGAAATGGGATGAAGTGATGATAATTTTGATTTCAGCTCTTGCTACTATTTATTTCGAATTCTATAACGTGGGGGTCAGATTCATATTCAGGCTGAAATTTAATAGTGCTGCAAAGAAATGCCTTTCTGGAAAGCATTCACTATTCGGCGAGTTTCACAGATTGTGGTTATTGCTCATCAGACGATTGATGGTCAGGGACGGGTTATGTCTGGCTGCACGCGATCCCGCCATTCGGGCCATGTTTTATTCTACTTATGGCCCAAAATGCGTCCGTGAATGGATCCGAACTAATTTTATATGGGGTCACCGCCCCTGGCGCTCCTACCATCCCCAGCAGGGCTCTGGTCTGTCTGGGGGATGGGGCGAGTGTGCTGCCAAGTAGCACAAACTCTGTGACTGTAATGGGTGGCATAGAGAGATAGTGAAATCCTCTGCCACCAGCCTTATCAGAACGGGCGGAGCAATCCTTTCCGAGCTCCGACTCGGGCGCGGCGCCGGAGAAGTGCAGCTGTCTTCGAAGGGAACTAAGGGACATGTGGGCAGCGGATTGTCACAATGCTAGACACCTTTAGAAGTGGTTACACGTATGAATGCAGGAAACCATCTCACCTGTTATTAAGCTCGTGAAAAGACACTAATAGGCTAGGTACTTTATGTTCATATTCACTGTAGGAAATGTAAACCCTCCCTAAGTTACTGAGCTCCATAATATGTTTGCTGATATTTTATGTATTTTCTCCCTCGTTTCCGGCAGGCGCGTTCATCCGCCGTCCGCACGCCAGCGACTGCGGCTGCCGACCGTGCACTGAGGAGATCCAGGAGGACCGCCTGCGCCGCTCGCTGTGCCGCATCCAGACGTACCGAGCGCTCAGCGGACCGGCCTGGATCAGCCTGACCAGCGAGGACCCCATCCTGGAGGCCTTCAGGGTAGGTGGGACTGTGGATGAGACGTTTAGGGCCCGAAGATCCCATTCTGGAGCGGCTCAGGGTAGGTCACAGACCGATGACCTCATCCTGGAGACGTTCAGGGTGGGTGCTGGGTGAAAAGAGTGGTATAAACTTCCTCGCAGATGAAGACCCATCCTGGAGGCCTTTGGAGTAGGTCAGGGGCCGATGTCCCGAGTGGGGAAGGCGAAGTTGCTTATTGGTTACCAAAATCTAAAATCCAGCATAAAAGAAATTACCACTTCTTGTCTGTTGGAGCAGAGTATATAAATGCTGGACGATGGCCGATGTTCTGCCATAGAATCGAAACTTTTGGAGTTCTTGCACTGCAAAAGGCAGATGTTCTATCCACAACTTGTTCAGAGATGGAGCTAACGTGTTTTCTTCGCGAACTGCCGCCACCATTGTCGCTCTCCGACCGCCGCTCTCCCTTTATGTTTGTCACTATCGCCGGCGCCGGGCGGTGAACGGCCCAGAACCGTTTCGTCCGCTCTGAGGCCGCTCTGATAGAGACCCGTGCCCCCCTCCCCCCCCCCCGAGTCCCAATCACACCCTACCATCAAAGAGAACTGTTGACAAAACGCCCGGCCTCGGAGCAGCTCACCGTCTCACCACAGAACCGTCAGCGGATATTGGCGCACTCTGCGTCAGCCCATCTATCGGCGTATATTTCCGACCGAAAAAGGCGCCGTCATAATGCATGCTAAATCGAATGAGCTCGGCCTGTTTGTTTGGTTTGGCGGAGCGCGGTGATTGAGATGGACGGGAGAGGTTTCAGCGCGTGAGAATTTCCTGCGAAAAGTGAGCTGGGTAGTGGGAGGATTGGAGTGGAATGGATGGCTGGCTACGTTGTCGTGGCGTTTCAATGGCCACCTGTTCCACTCCGAGTGACGCCGAAATGCACTCACGTGGCGGTGCTAGGATAGCTGGAACAGAGGAACGTCTCTCGTCCCCCACGCTTTGAGCCCTCGCCACGATCAGTGCCGCCGCCATTTTATAATTAGACCAACCCTGCAGTCTAATTTATCGGATTACCAATTAGTGAGAGCGCGCTCAGAAACTGGCCCAAGAAACTGTGCGGGGGAGGGCGATGCTTGTTACGTACACTCGGGGGCAGATTGATGTTCCACCACTCCCTACCCATCGGGCTCCCATGGCTGAGCACTGGCTGCTGCCAGTGGCAGCACTGGCAGCACTAGCACTGGCAAGCAGTGCTGAGCAGTGCTGAGGGCAGGCAACACTGGCAGCAGCCACTGCTGATCCATGGGAGCCCGATGGGTAAGGAGTGGTGGAACATCAATCTGCCCCCGAGTGTACCTGCCGTGAGGTTTCATCAGCCACACTCGAATCCTGCCCAGCGTTACCAAAATCTTAAATCCACGTGTTGATAAGCTAGCGCACGATAATGACAGCTGTATAAACCTGGGAAGGTACGTTTAACTTGAAGGATGCGAGGGCATGGGTCGAACAGCTATGCTATGGACCCATGTGCCTGTGAGTGTATGACCGAAACTTCATGAACGTGCCTATGTGATGGGTTCTGTATCCTTAACTCTGTCACTCCATGCAGTCTGTCCTACTTCAGTCTTTTCCCGTGATTCTGTCAATGGCTCTGACTGCGACCCTGTACTGTGGCCACGACTCTGTGACAATATTGTAGCTGTTATATATTCCGATTGCTTTTTTGAATCTGCATGCTTCAGCTGTCGTGAGAGCAGACCCTTACTGAGGGCGGAGCTCTGTGACTGCCGAGTCATCTAACTCAGCTGTGTCAGTGACTCTGTACTGTTACCATGATTACTCATGACTCTGTGGGCCCGACTCTGACCGTGACTCTCTGACTCTGTACCGCAGCTGTCGTGGGAGCTGACTGAGCTGAGTCGGAGGGAGAACGAGTTCCATCAGACCTACCAGCAGCTGAGCGACCAGTGCAAACGCTACGCCTGTGACCTGCTCGAGCAGTGTCGCAGCTCTGAGGAGGTGAGTCAGGGATCAACAAGCGTGTGTCCTGTCCAGAGGTCAGTCAGGGATCGTAGCACAGGCGTGTGATCTGCCCTGAGCTCAGTCTCGGTTATCAATGGCCCTCGTCGGACTTTCAAGGCTAGCCCTAAGGATCACGTAGGTCAGTCATCAGTCACCACAGGCCGTTTAGGTCAGCATTCGGTACATGAAGGCCAGTGAAGCCACGTCATATTGTGGTGAGTCTCTATTCGGTATCAAATTCCGTCACTTTTTGGGAGGAATTTGTATATTGTAATCGTTTTCTCGTGTATATTTTCTTATTAAACTGAGGAGAAGCTTGTTATGCACCGGTAAGGAAACACCAATGCTTATGTGGGTGGTTGGAATAATGTCCGAAAAAGTTTCAATGGTAATAGAAGCGGGCGAGATCGCCCTACCAGCAGCTCCCGCTCCTTCACCAACCGATAAACAATGCCGGTCTGCAGCGGCGCCATTAGCCGCCGCCCACCCGACATTGCCGCCCCCGCAGCCGAGCGCCGAACATTACCCGTAGGCGGACGCTCGCCGGCATTATGGTAAGCCGTTTATCAGTCGCGTCATTCACCTGTCCTCGCGGCGATCAATGACGATCTCGGCGCACCGCCCGCGCCAGAAGAAAGGTACCCCCGGGCCCGCACCGGCTGCCGTCGGACGTTTATTGCAGTCCCGAGACACGCGCGAGGGGATGGGCCGCGCTGGGGCGGGGTGGTATTGTTTGTTTTGTGGCATGCTACACCTGACATACAACAAACGTGTTGTGTTGTGTGGGACGTGCCTGCGTGCAGATTCCCTGCGGGTAACGGCACGGAGCATGACACCAGTCTAGATATGTGCTGTGACACACAACACGCTACCATCAATGCTCATGCAGTTTACAGCAATGCTCAATATTGTTCTATCGAATAAACAGATATGTCTCGTGATGCGCGAGTTCATGACCGATCCACGTTATCCCGTGAATGCTGAGTCTGGGAGTGATAGAACGGCAGTACGTGTGCCGCCAAGTCTGCCGTCTGCGTCTCCAGCGGCTCTGGCAGTGATATTACCGCAGTTGGCTGGTATCCGGGAACAGCGCAGGGGGCAGCCACTGCACCGCGGACATTGATTAAACATTTACCGCGGTTATGCGCCGACCAAGGCGCCTGGGACGGTGCTGAGCACTGCCACAGCTTAGGATAGCCCGTTAGGCAGTCCTGTCTAGCTTATTATGGAATGGTTCATATCGTGAATTGCCCAATTTTAGCTCAGATTTTATTATGTTGCTTATTCCTTTGTAGCTTTGGGTCTTTGAGTACACCAGAAAACAACTCTTGATGTTGGAGCTCTTACACCAGAAAACGACTCTTTTCGTTGGAGCTCTTCATTCGAGTGGATATTTATGTGTGCAAAGTTGGCACGTGCCAAATCACCCAGGTGACCGCCGTTGTCCTCCGCTCTGCTCAGGTGTTAGCCGTTCTGGACCGGAGGACGCCCGGCGAGGACCTGGTGGCCAGCGAGGACGGAGAGGAAGCGGAGGACGCCGACTGGCCCGTTGCCGAGGACGATCGGCCGGCGGCGCTCAGCCGACTCCGGCTGGCCATCCGATACGAGCAGAAACAGGTGAACAGCGCGGGCGGGCATGTGCGCGTGAAGTGTATATCGTGCCCGCGTGTGCCGGTCCGAAGGTGCAAGTGTGTGTGCAGTCATATCATTTAGGTTATGTTTGATATTCTGACAGGGCCTTTATTTTACGAAGCTATAAGAAATTCGGGCTTTAAATATGATCGCCGTGCAATGCCACATGGATCCAACTTGTCGCCAGATGGAGTATCGACTATTGTCGAGAATCCCCGTTTTACTGACACATTGTGCGTCTGTCGCCAGTTTGTGGCCCGCTCGCACAGCCTGATGTCAGTGTGGTGCCCGTCTTCCCCGTTTGACCGCTGTGTTTTACACCACCTCGTCTGACCGCCGTGTTTCACACTGTCGGCAGTTTGTGGCCCACTCGCACAGCCAGCAGATGCTGATGTCCGTGTGGTACACGGGCCTGCCGCTGTGGCGCGGCCGGAACCCGCTGCTGAAGGTGCTCATCTGCGCCGTCATCGTGCTGCTCATCCCGCTGCTCTCAGTGCTCTACCTGCTCTTCCCGCGCTCCCGGGTCGGCCGGGCCATCCGCAGTCCGTTCATGAAGTTCATCTACCACAGGTGGGTCGGCGTGCTGCGGGGTCCTTGTGAGGGAGGGAAGGAGACGGGGAGTGTAGGGAGACAGGAGCATGGAAGATAGCAGAAAAAGACCATACGAATATTCTGTAAAAAGAGTAGCATGAATGTTGTTGATGACGCCTTTTGCCGCGAGCATTGACTGTGACATATTGGACAGCATTTAATAGGATGGTAAGGTTGAATGAGGCTGACAATGATCAAGGTATATCATTACTGTGTACTGTGTAGCGCTCATTCGTCAATCTCACGCTTGGATGGTACGTACCTCAAAGACTTGCAGCCTGTTTACAGCGTTATCGTCGATACGATTGAATAACTGCTACCGACTGGGTTTGTCATTACATTTTTTTTTTAATCGAACCTTTTGAACGGATGGATGCACATTTTACAAGGACAGAGCCCCACTAAGCGAAATTTGCTGCGGTGACCGTGCCCTCTACCCTCCGATCGCGCAATTCGTGATCGATGACATAATTTTGAGTCCGAAGTTAAACGTGCACACATAGCCGCGCACGGCCGGTCCCCCCACTGACTTTAGCTGGCTACGGCCTGCCACCAACAGCAACCATACCCGTGAGGAGTGCTATCAGCATGAAACGCCCGTCGCGCCTCAAACTAAGGACTGTTGTAACCGGGAGGCGGGAACGCGTGCTCTCACCACGCGGAGTTCAACGCTCTACCGACTGAGCTACGGGACCATTATTCATTGCTGATATGACTTTTCACCAATGTTATTGGTGAAACGGTGAACGGTATCTGACTCGAGAACATATGGATAGCATCTTTTCAAGTAGATTTCATCCGTAGCCACTAAATCGTTTCTATTCTAAAGCTTTCCTCTTACGCTTCAGAGACTCTTAGGTTTGCGGAAATCATTCTGAATGTTTTATTGTGCCGTAAAATGGAGCAGTTGAAAAGAACAGAAGGCACCAATAGCGCCGTATTCTATGGAGTTTGGAACCAACCAATCTTGGCCTTTTCTGCAGATTTTACCCGGGAGTTTTGACCAATAAAAGGTCACTGATTTGAGCAAGCAGTTGAATTATGAACTTTGCATTCAGAGAATTTTTTGCGCGCATGCAATATGAATGTACATGCACGGCCATTAGCCCGCGCCCTGGTGGGGTCTGTTTATAACGCGACCTGGTGGGGGGGGCTATTTTTTGCCCCCCCCCTCGTATCTCCGAAACTACTGGACGGATCCGAAAAATTCAAACGTCGTTCGAAAGGCCTGTCAAATTTGTCGAAGGAAACCAAATTTCATTGACCTCGGGGTCACCGATGACGTCACAGGTCAGGTCAAAGATGAAATGTTTCACCGTTCACGGGTCTTCTAGGGAATGCGCTATAACACCGAGGAAAACGCATTTTGTCGAGAATCAGCGATAGGGCGTCAGTTGCCTAGTAGATATGTTGCTATTAGAGGTCACTGACAATACCAGGTCAGGTCACAGGTCAGGTCACCAAGGGTCACAGGTCAGGTCACATGAGCCCAACTTTACAAAGGTTGTGTGATGCATGTTTTATGGCCAATTTTTCATTTCCAACTCAATGGTGCTGGTTACAAGACTATCAGGTACGGCTTAGGTCACTTTCTGGTGAAGTTCAGGTCAAGGTCACGTCAAGGTCAGGCCAAAAAAGGTCAAATTTTAAAGTTGATAGTTTTGCATAAAATGGGTATATTGATTCGATGCAGCTCGTCACGGGGAGTCTAATGGTGGTCTTTGTTTTGCGCTACGGGGTCTAGAATTGCTAAAAATTGAGTTTGAAAATTTGACGTCATCAATTTTGAACAGTTTTTTCGCTATAACTTCGCCAAAAAAGAGGTATCAATCTCAAATTCGGTATGTGGATGGAAGGCGGTAAGGACTATCACATATATTCCGGTTTTTGCGAAATTCAAAAAACTTTTTGGATTTTTCGATTATTATATCCAAAAAAAAATATTTTTTGATTTTTTTGGGTCAAAATCCAAAAATTTCAAAAATCCGAGATAGCAGTTTTGTAGCCCTGTCAATTCTACAGCTTTTATGTCTTTATCATTTTTCTGTATTTGCAAAGCTATAGGCCTGACAGCTCTTCCCGCGAAACCCTTATTTGGGTCGAAAACAACAGAACATGACGTCACTGACGTCATTTCCGGCCAACCTATCATAGCCTTTGGAAAAAAAATTTGGTCACAATATGTAAAATTGATGTCCGGGAGGGTACTGAAAGTTTGGTGACGATCGGCGCAGCGGTTCTGGAGATATATCGAAAAGTCTGGAGGGGGGGGCAAAAAATAGCCCCCCCCCACCAGGTCGCGGGTTAGGAATGCAAACAGCTACCATGCCGGTTTATATTTATGCATCGGCATGTTCCATCGCGTTTCGTCGTGAAATGCTGAAGGCTGATGCTCATGCACTGATATTGCTGACTGTGGCTGTGCGTTTCAGCGCGTCGTTTTGTTTCTTCCTGCTGCTGCTGGTGCTGGCCTCGATGAGGCCCGAGGGAGACGAGCGCTCCCATGAGAACATCCGCGGCCCCAAGCCGTCGCCCGTCGAGTGGCTCATCATCTTCTGGGTGGCCGGAATGGTAGGTGGCCGCTGCTGGGGCTTACCAGTCCTCTTACTCGGTGGGATGAACAAACCTCAGTCTGATCGTGGTAATGAATGTTAATGTCGCTGCTCTCCTAACAATGCTTCATGCACACATGTTCCGTGCCTGCGTTCGTTCTTAGACGTTTTGCTCTTTCCTCGGAAGGAAAAAAGGTAAAGCGAAATAAGTATTAGACGAATAACATTCGTAGCATTGACCTGTCCTTATATTTCTAACGAATAGAGCACAATGGCGATGTCAGTGCATCCCACTGAAAGCTGCTTTGAGCGCAGTGCGCATCCAAGGCGCAATTATTAATCGGCTTTGTTGCCTCTGTCATTCGAACCGTGCGATCCCCACCGTTTCTGATTGGATGCCATCGCCTGGACTGTAGCCAGGCATCTTATCGTCTGCGTCCTCCGGCAGTTACGTCTATCACGTCTTGGTGTCGTCTTACTGATATTCATTCGCCGGCGGATACCACTTGCATTATTGCGCCGAACACACGTCTGGGTTTCGAGCTCATCATTTTACAGGTCTCAGTTTTTATTGAGAATGTGATGAATATGGAAACAATTAAATTGCACGACTGCGGAAGTGAAGGCCACAACTACCCAAATCATGAAATTTGTGTCACACGCAAGTTTTACACAGACAAGTGTCGCCTCTTTGTTTCTAAGAAAACCAGCATATCACTTGTCAACACAATCTGCCTTTGCGGTGCATATCATTACGGAGCAGCGTATGTCATTAAGCGGGTTCTCCGAGGGCCTGCCTCTATGTAGTCGTACCGAGTTGAGCGGGTATTGGAGTGGAGCCGCTTACTGCTATAACTGGGTCAGTGGTAGAAACTTCAGAGGTGCTTTCCCGGCTCACACTGGCCAGATTCATAGAAGCACACGGACCAGATGCATATTTAAACACATACCAGCCGCACGGAGTTGCAGCCTAAGGTTCTCGAACTGACCTCTGCAGTACTCCCCTGCTGCCGCCGTACCCCACCCCCTCTGACCCCCTCCCCCCTTTCCGTCAGGTATGGGCGGAATGTAAACAGCTCTGGGACGAGGGGCTGAGCGGCTACGTGCGCCAGTGGTGGAACTGGCTCGACTTCGTCATGCTCTCCATCTACATCTGCAGCTTCTCGCTGCGGGCGGTGGCCTACTTCCAGATCCGCTCCGGATCCTACGGCTGCCGGTCAGTCCCCTTGTGGAGGGGGAGGGGGGGGGGGTGAACCAGTAGTCAGACAGCGCAATTGGACACTTTGATTGACAGGTCACTTCCAGGCTGAGCATTTCTCATATTGCACCTTCTGGATATGTGTGGGAACATATGGGTAATAAAATCAGCGAGCTAAGGTGAGATAAGCGCAGAGTTAATCAAGCAAGCGTTAGGTGGGAAAGCAGCTAGCAGACTAGCGAGCTCCGCGCTTACCACGACTGCTGATTCGACTTATCACTAGGCTGACCACGCGAGTAAATGCGTGTGAGAGAGAGAGAGAGAAAAAAAGAGAGAGGGAGGGAGGGATAGAGGGAGCTAGAAGCAAAATATGATATACTGCGGAATTTGTTAGGACTTACGATGCAGTAGTTTGTTTGATAAGTTGCGCCACCACCCGGGGCTATGAGCCAAAAGTTAGCACTGCTGAAGGCGAAGTTGAGCGGAAAGCTGAACAGAAGCCACGAACCGGGTCAATGAAGCGCTTAGTGGCAGCTCAATGAAGCGTTTAGCGGGAGCAGCCGGATGTGAGACCAAGGCAAAACAGGCGCACGCTCTGCAGAATTGGTAAACCTGACGCATAGTGCTGGTGGCTTGACCTACACAGAATGCATACGTTATGCAAACGTGATAGAAGATTGGAAAAAACTCTTGAGATGTTAGATGTGCTGCCTGGTATATACTGACTGACCGGATTCATGGAAAGCTAAATTGACTTTTTTAGCTATTTGTGCGATTTGCCCACGAGTATTACTTATTCGCATATTCGCTCAATTACTTATTCACCTATTCATTAATGATCCCAGGGGCGTAGGCAGGGGGGGGGGCCACTGGGCCATGGCCCCCCCCTTGGGCGCCGAAGGCGCCCTTTGCGATTGGAGGGCGCCGAAGGCGCCCTCCAATCGCAAATGCAATTGTGATATAATCGAATCGAAAAACAATCGCGACTGGAGGGCGCCCTCCAATCGCGAATGTGTTTACAGGGAAAATACGGATGGAGGGCGCCCTCGGAGGACGCCCATTCCAAATACGCCCTCCAAATACGGTTGGAGGGCTCCCTCGGGCGCCCTCCAACCACATTTGTAGGCTGTAGCTCTCTAAGCGTAACGGTGGTCGCCTATGTAAGCCGCTGTCCTGTAAATAAGCGCCCTCTCACCCGAAGGCGCCCTCCTGTAGGTCGCCACCCTGCTACACATTGCCGCCCTTCTGCTGATCGGCGTCCTCATGATTATTGGCGCTCTTCTACCTATTGCGCCCTCATGTGAAATTTTGAAGGCCGCCTTTCTCCCTTTTGGCACCCTCTTGTTCAGTGCCGCCCTCCTACCTATTGGTTCCCTAGTCCTTCCTGTTGAATGCTAATCGGGGCCCTTCTCCTATTGGCGCCCTCGTGTTGATCGCCGCCCTCCTAACCACTGGCACCCTCCTGTTGATCACCGCCCTCCTATCTACTGGCACCTTCCTGTTGACCAGCGCCCTCCGCACAGACGCCGTCCTGTTCGTGTCATCCTCTTGAGCAAAGGCGCCCTCCTCACCATTGCCACCCCCATTTTAATCGTCACCCTTCCGCTCATTGGCGACTTGCAGTTGATGACCGCCCTCCCACCTATTGGCGACCTCTTGTTGATCGCCACCCTCCTATTGGTGCTCTCCTGTTCCTCGCCACCCTCTTACCTGGTGGCGCCCTCCTGTTGATTGTTGATCGGGGCCCTCCTACCTATTGGTGCCCTCCTGTTGATCGCTGCCCTTCTATCCATTGGCGCCCTCCTGCTGCTCGCCAACTTCCTACCTATCGGTGCCCTACTGTCGAAACTCGGGATGTTGATCGGGGCTCTTCTACCTATTAGCGCCCTCCTGTGGATCGCAGCCCTTCTACCTATTGGCAACATCCGTTGATCGCTGCTCTCCTATCATTTATTTACTCCTTTGGCATGTTCTTCAACTTAGTCGTTCTATTGCACATAGTTGATGTCTTGCCTGTGAAAACTGCCACAAATGAACGTGCATTCAGCACAATGAATGAAGTACCTATACCTACCAAAACTATCTACGCTCTACGATGCATAAAACACGTCTTTGGTCTTAACGGATTGATCCTACTTTACGTGCATCATGGCATCTATATGTATTACGATTAAGTATTGTCAACAGGTTCGGCCGCAACAGCAGGCATCTGAAGTTTCGGTGATTGAAACTGGTTATGTGGGTACACTGTATGCACCTGTGAGAAGGCTATGAAGGCTGGTCTGAGGTAATTTGGATGATGTTTACGCATCTCGCGCTCCGGTATCAATCCGATACGGTGATCTGGTGCGTAGATATGCCACCGCCAATAAACTTTTATACATCGACACCCATGAGCCAAGCTTTCTATACAGTTTGTGTGGCAGCGGCCCGACCAAACCTTAGGTATTTTTTATACCTTCAAATTTGGTAAAAGAGCGAGAGGAGCTTTGAGCAGTGATCGTATAAAAGGCGTGCCTAAAAAGCGGAGGAAAAGGTTGTTTTCAAAAATTTCGCGCGCCTTCGGCGCAGCATTTCAAGACCACTTGACCTTTTGTGACCTGGAGTATAAAGAATACACACGATGCAAAATCAATGCAGCACGACCTATACGAGGTTACGCAAAAAAAAAACTGGTGGCATGGTAAAAAACGCCTCCCAACCCCCCCCCCCCCCGTTGAGTGATTTTTTATCTCGCGACCGTATGGCGCCCTCCTTGGGTGAGGTGGCGCCCTCCAAACCCTTGGCCCCCCCCTTCGCGATTTTCTAAATACGCCGCTGAATGATCCTCTAGCTCCTCCCTTATGTTTTTGCTTTCGGACTACGCTTGCGAAGGTTGACTTTTCCCCGACGGGAGCCTTTTTATGACCGCTCATAAAACTATTTTGTTGCGATGAGAAGCAGTCGGCGTGTCAAACTTTGCTGTCAGCCGTTTTGGCCCTCAACTTTGAAAAGGCTAGCGGAGCGGTTTTACAAGAAGTAGTTTGGGGAAAGGCATTTCCAAGAAGCATTAGGTGTTAAATTAAAAGCTACCCGAAGCTGAGTAAAAATCGGTATTCGGGGTACCTCAGGTTGATCTAAGAAATTAATCGTATTTTTAGAAATTGGTGTCGCGGTCTACAACCACCACAGGCTGTCCTCTGCCGCGAATCCTCATTTTCTGGTCCTTGTGGTCATCTTTTATGGTCACCATATTTCCTAATGTGAATGCAAGTGAAAAAGTTTTTGACGAAAAAAGTTACTGAAAGGGAGGGATATTTATCTCCACGCACCCTGTGAGGCCCACGATTTGTCTGGCAGTGGGCTAATGGAAACATTATCTGAGTTAAATGCAAAAAAAAATATACACGTGTAAAACAATATTAGATAATTAATAAAACGTTGGTTCAATGCGCCCATAAGTCATTGTCGAGGAAGGCATCCTGACTCCTAGTAATGGCTGGTACATTTTCACGATGAATATTTGAAACGAAAAGAAATTCACACTCAATTCCCGCTCGCTCTGTGCACTGCACTCACTCAGGCAATGTGTCATTTGGCCTGATGACCCATTCCGCGTCACAGAGTGCTGGTGTCGGTCTGTCGCTCGCTGTACCAGGGCTGTTTGCCCCCCCCCCCCCTCCCCGAGCTTCGCCCACGCCCTGGTCATTCGAGCACGCGCCAGTAATACGACGCGGCGGGACAAATGTACCGGCCGACCGGGCACGCCGCTGCGCCGCGGGCGGCTATTCAGAGCGCTCGGCCGGCGCTGATTTGTGACCTCGGCACGGCACGACAGCCGGAGCCAACAGATCGGGTTTCGAGCGACGGTCGGATCGCCAGTGGCTGTGAATTGGCCCAGATGTCAATGGGAGCCGGTCGATCGGCCGGATGAGAGGTGACTCGGCACGCGGCGCCCCCCTCCTCCGGTGCGGAGGTGGTGGGATGGGAGTCGTTTGGAGTTGGGCTGAGCTCTGATGGTGAGATTTTCAGAGCCGAATGACATTTCGTCTGGTGTAAATGACGCCGACTAGAGGTCAGAACAAGCGATACGTTTGATTTGCGCTGGCGTCCAGCCTTTACCTTTAAACTGTGACGTTCGACACCAAACCGGGCTAACGCTGACCGGTCGAGTCCGGCCGATTGGAACTTAGGCCGGGAACAACTGCAGTTAACTAGTTGCCTCGTCTGCTAATGAACACAGTGAGGCGTGGAGGAGGGGGGAGTTAGGGGATGGGGAGAGAGAAAGAGAGAGGGGGAGTGGAAGAGCATGGGAAGGAACGAAAGGGACAGAAATTACTTAGCTATGAGCAAATCCATTTTCATTATTATGTTCTCTGAAAATATGTACCGCAATATTTAGGTAGACAGGAAAACACCTCCCTCCCTACCCGTCGTTCCCTAATTATCTGTCCCTCCGAATCTGGCCTTCGGTATTTGAACGTCAGTATCTGACGCTCGGTATCTGCCCCACTTCCCTCAGGGAACTGGACCGCCTGTGGTGGCCCATAACTCAGCGTTCCCCACCTGACCCCAGTATCTGACCTCCGTAATCCGTATCCAACCCCCTCTCCCTGCAGGGAGATGGACCGGCTGCTGTGACCCACCAGTCCCCAGTATCTGAGCCCCAGTATCTGACCCCTGCTATCTTCCCACCAGGGAGATGGACCGGCTGCTGTGGCCCATCAACGACCCGACGCTGATCGCCGAGGGCCTGTTCGCTGTGGCCTCCGTGTTCAGTTTCGCGCGCATCATCTACCTGTTCCAGACCAACCCGCACCTGGGGCCGCTGCAGATCTCACTCGGATGCATGATCATCGGTCAGTCACGTGGTCAGGGTGGTGGGGTCGTCGTTGGGTCACGTGAACAGGGGCGGTGGGGTCATCAGTAGACATCGTGATCAGGCCAGTTGGTGGGGTCCTGGGCCACTTGATCAGGATGGCGTTTTCAACAGTGAGACACGTCAATATTTTGGCAACATTTAAGTGATTTGCTTTGTGTTTTAGATGCGTAATGATATTTTAATGCCGTTGTAATAATCAGGAGATATTCCGGCAAGGCCAGATCACTTGATGTTAATGTATGCTGGCTGAAGCGAAGCTACCTATGCTTGGTCACGTAAGCTTGTATACCGTGTACGGTTCGCCATTTCCTGTGTATTTAGTAATACGCAATCGACCTGTAAATGCTTATCGTGTTTCTAAATGTGAGTTGCCTTAGTGTCGCATACTTTTTTCTGGGTCTCATTCATCACGAGCTGTATGGTGTACTGTCTCCTTTTCAGACATCATCAAGTTTCTGTTCATCTTTTTCCTGATCCTGACAAGTTTCGCGTGCGGTCTGAACCAGCTCTACTGGTACTACCGACACACGCCCGGGAACAACTCGGGCGGAGAGCTCTTCAGAACGTGAGTACCGAGCTGTTCTGAGCGTGAAAAGCAAACTCTTCGTAATGTGAGTATGTACTTTTCAGAGCGTGAATAAAGAGCGATAACATAGACTAAGCACCGAACGGATTGGCTGACATGATAGTGTTGATAAAACTATGCATTGTGTTTTGAAAAGATAAAAACTTTGTGTCTATTTTATTCGACTGTGGGGCCGTGTGAACATCGAAAGGTTTCGTCCTGAGACGTATCAAAGCCTGCAGCTGTGCGATTCAGCCTTGTTGGTGCGACCCGTTATTAGAGCGGCTGGACCCATCCTATAGTGGAAGGCGTGGAATAATTGAGAAACCGGTGACAGATAGCGAGGCCCACTGAAGAAACGATACTCAACTCATAGCGGCGACGCGGCTATGGAAGGTTAGGACCCTGCCAGGGCGCCACCGAACGTGACCGTGGCTAATCGCCCCGTCGACAGACGCAGGGCAGCCCCCGGAGGGGTGTCTGGGAGGGCGCGGGCCGCGGGACCGCCGGGCCGTCGACTGGAGTGGCACGAACGGCAGTCGTCGACGGCGACGGGCGGCGAAAGGGTCGTAGAGTGAGCGAGAAGTGAGCTAAGGAATCCGTGCGGAGCGCCAACGGCTACGAGGATTATCTGATCAGGCACTCCTTAACGCCGACATGGCCGCCGGCGAGTGGAGCGGAGAGCGAGCGAGAAGGGAGCCAGGGAAGCTGTGGGGAGTACCAACGGCTACAAGGATTCTATGGTCAGGCATACTAACGCCGGCACGGCAGGTGAGGCGTATCGAGCACGGCTCGGGGGTACGTACAGCGGAGTGCGGTTCCTTGGCGGCGACACCACGAGGATGGTTGCCCGGCGACTGACGCGGCGTCACCACGGGGATGGTTCCCCGGCGACTGACGTGCATCTATTCAGAGGCATACTAAGCGCACACGCAACCGTGAAGGAAACCGGGGAGCCCGGTAGGCACGCTTTGAAGGGTCGTGCAACGCAGCACCCCAACCTGCGACGCGATACACACAAAACACCTGGTTCCGGCCACTCTACAACTCATGCACACACACATCAGGTCCGCCGCCGACCCCCCGGCTACTCTGCAACTGCAATGCGTCCGACGCCCCGGCTACTCCGCACTGCACATACATCAGGTCCGCTGCCGACGCCTCGGCTACTCTGCAACTCACGCACATACATACTCATGCACATGCATCAGGTCCGCCGCCGACGCCTCGGCACGCACATGCATCAGGTCCGCCGCCGACGCCTCGGCACGCACATGCATCAGGTCCGCCGCCGACGCCTCGGCACGCACATACATCAGGTCCGACGCCGACGCCTCGGCACGCACATGCATCAGGTCCGCCGCCGACGCCTCGGCACGCACACGCATCAGGTCCGCCGCCGACGCCTCGGCACGCACATGCATCAGGTCCGCCGCCGACGCCTCGGCACGCACATGCACCAGGTCCGCCGCCGACGCCTCGGCTACGCTGCAGTAGAGATGTCCTCGGATACAATTTTTCGGTATACCGATACCATACTGATACCAACTCGGTACTTGGTATTTGATTCCCAATGTGTTCGGTATTTTGCTGGTACAATGCACCCTGCAACGCCGGCACATACATCGGTCCGCCGCCGACGCCTCGGCCCTCTGCTACACGGTAATAACTCATACCAACACGGTAAGAACACATAACGGGTCCACCGCCGGAACCTCGGCCACACTGCATCTCGTCCACACACCGTCCGTCCGCCGCCGACGCCTCGGCCATTCTGCAACACGGAATGCACATACTTCGGTCCGCCGCCGACGCCTCGGCCCTCTGCAACACGGTAATAACTCATACTAACACTGCATACTGCATCTCATCCACATACATCGGTCCGCCGCCGACGCCTCGGCCAGTCTGCAACGCAGAATGCACATACATCGGTCCGCCGCCGACGCCTCGGCTACTCTGCAACGCAGGCACATACATCGGTCCGCCGCCGACGCCTCGGCCCCCTCTGCAACACGGTAATAACTCATACCAACACGGTAAGAACACATAACGGGTCCACCGCCGCTGCATCTCATCCACATACATCGGTCCGCCGCCGACGCCTCGGCCTTCCGCAACACGGAATGCACATACATCGGTCCGCCGCCAACGCCTCGGCCCTCTGCAACACGGTAATAACTCATACTAACACTGCATACGGCATCTCATCCACATACACCGGTCCGCCGCCGACGCCTCGGCCATTCTGCAACGCAGAATGCACATACATCGGTCCGCCGCCGACGCCTCGGCTACTCTGCAACGCAGGCACATACATCGGTCCGCCGCCGACGCCTCGGCCCTCTGCAACACGGTAATAACTCATACCAACACGGTAAGAACACATAACGGGTCCACCGCCGCTGCATCTCATCCACATACATCGGTCCGCCGCCGACGCCTCGGCCATTCTGCAACACGGAATGCACATACATCGGTCCGCCGCCGACGCCTCGGCCCCTCTGCAACACGGTAATAATTCATACTCACACTGCATACTGCATCTCATCCACATACATCGGTCCGCCGCCGACGCCTCGGCCATTCTGCAACACGGAATGCACATACATCGGTCCGCCGCCGACGCCTCGGCCTTCTGCAACACGGAACGCACATACATCGGTCCGCCGCCGACGCCTCGGCCATTCTGCAACACAGAATGCACATACATCGGTCTGCCGCCGACGCCTCGGCCACTCTGCAACGCAGGCACATACATCGGTCCGCCGCCGACACCTCGGCCCCCTGCAACACGGTAATAACTCATACCAACACGGTAAGAACACATAACGGGTCCGCCGTCGACGCCTCGGCCACACTGCGTCTCATCCACATACATTGGTCCGTCCGCCGCCGACACCTCGGCCATTCCGCAACACAGAATGCACATACATCGGTCCGCCGCCGACGCCCCGGCCCTCTGCAACACGGTAATAACTCATACCTGGTCCGCCGCCAACGCCTCGGCAATACCGACCCCAGGGCAAAACGCCCCACGGCCTGGGGCAAGTAGCCCCTTACTCTAGACTAAAAGATTAAACATGGTAGTTGGCTAAATCTTATATGAGAGGTCCGTTAGACCTCTGGAGGCATGGCACTGAAATTAGCACATTCCATCCTATCAGGTGTGCAACTCTGACACGGTGGTATGAGCAGGTTTTACACCTGCCTCATAAGGCCAAAGAACAATTTATTGCAATGCTTATGTTAACAAAATACTCCTTTTGCCTTCCAGTCACTGAGAAAATGCATATAAAGGCATAGAAACTTACTGTTCGCCAGCTACCAACATTTGAAAGGGGGTAGTCCGAACAACACATGATGTAAAACGCCCGATGGGGTTTTTGCCCCGCGACGTACTGGGGCGTTTTACCCCATCACGTAATTCTGTCAGAAAACAGCGCCATGCGCTCTAGCAAGACATAATTTAACACGAACCAGCCCGGCATTACAAGCGTTAGACAATAGTCGTTCAGAACACATAAAATCGTTAACCTGACGTGGACCATAAAAGAACGCCACGATGCACCATCAGACTACAAAACATCAAATCACAAAACACACACACACACACACACATCTTTGGCTACATCTCCCTAAAGAGTTATCACATTTCCTTCCAGTCGGCGCATATAACGATCATATAGTGCACGTTTTATAGAAGAGAGGATGGTTTCCCCAGAACCTTGCCATTTCGGAGAACATCGGCGAGGCGTCTTACCCCGGCCGGGCGACTTGCTCGGGTCTACACTATCTCAGCAATTTGATACTTTACATCTGGTCCGCCGCCGACGCCTCGGCCACTGTTCAACTTGACATGTACACATGATCTGCGGCCGTCGCCTCGGTATCTCAGCAGCTCGATATTTACACCTGGTCGGCCGCCGACGCCTCAGCAACCCTGCAACTCGAAGACATGGTCCGCCGCCGACCTCCCGGCTACTCTGCAATTCAACATTATGCACTCGGTCGGCCGCCGACGCCTCGTCCACTCTGCAACTGGATGGACATACACCTGGTCCGCCGCCAGCCAGTGTTGGGAATAAGGCCCTTTGCTGGTCCCAGTCGGGTCAAAACGATTTTGTGCTTCCTTACAAATTTATACTCCGGCACCTGAAATTTCTGAAATTTCCAGCCTATGTAAAGAAAACTGCTATTATTACGCCGATAGCATACATTTATAGCAGTGAGCGAACACATTTTATCGACTTTCACATTTAGTAGGCCAAACATATATGATTTTCCTGTCGAGAGTTCTAAAGGTGGCCGGTTCTCCGGAGCAGATTTTATTCTCCGGAACCAATTTGGCGTTTTGTAAGGGCTATCCTACCCTATAAACGAGCCGACGTGAGTGGTTCCGGCCACTGACAGCCAACCGGGGAGAATGACCGGTGAGATGGCGCGGGCAACGGGGTCCTAATCAACTCATAGCGGCGACGCGGCTATGGAAGGTTAGGACCCTGCCAGGGCGCCACCGAACGTGACCGTGGCTAATCGCCCCGTCGACAGACGCAGGGCAGCCCCCGGAGGGGTGTCTGGGAGGGCGCGGGCCGCGGGACCGCCGGGCCGTCGACTGGAGTGGCACGAACGGCAGTCGTCGACGGCGACGGGCGGCGAAAGGGTCGTAGAGTGAGCGAGAAGTTTCCCACCCACCCTCACCAATTAAAAGATGCGATCTTAAAATAAGTGGAACCTTACATATCCTCAATCCAGACTACATCCCGTCGTTATCACTCCGGCGGTATCGTTTTGTAAGGGCTATCCTACCCTATAAACGAGCCGACGTGAGTGGTTCCGGCCACTGACAGCCAACCGGGGAGAATGACCGGTGAGATGGCGCGGGCAACGGGGTCCTAACCAACATTAGTGCCCTCATCTGGCGAGGTGCATTGTGCCCACCATGAAGCGATTTGCCTGTTATGTCATTGGCTTTAAAACATTTTCTCGTATTCAGACGATCTTTTAGGCTACTACCTGGAACCAAAACTTTATAAGTAAGTGCCGTAAGTTTCGGCTTGTAACTTGTAACACGTATTTTTTAGGGAGGCCTTGGTTGAAGTAGGAGCTCAACTCAAGCGAAATGTCGCATCAGTATTTACCATCACTGCGTTACCGGCAGCACGGAAGCAAAATAACTTCATTGCTGGCGAATGTCGGGCTTCCCTCGCAAGAAATGGTGCCCGCATTACTAAAACGTGAACTTGTAGGCAACTTGTGTGACGACTCAACCGGTCGTTCTAGATCGTTCAGCGGATTGGCTGTAAAATCGACCCCTTCGCTCAGTTAATCCGTGACGGATCCCAACCATTAAGCGGCTTAAATGTCGCATCACTTATGTCGACGACGCGCTGTTGTTTTGCTGCGTGGCATCTCACGTCCCTGGAAATGGGGACGGCGCTGCGTGCCGCTGCATCTGTCGCGCTGCTGACCGGGCGACTTTGCCCCGCTCCGGACGGCAGCTTACCGTGCAACTTGCCTGCGTCCGGCTCGTTCTCGAGCGATCTAATTACCTCGTGTTGTCTGTCTGGGGACCGACAGGGAGGGCCGGCGTCCCGGAACAACAGAGGGTTTCCTTTGAAGTGCGTCATCTAGCCGAAACTCGTGGTCCTCTCCTCTCTATCTGTGCTTCCTCTTCCCGAGTTCTCTCAATTCTCCCATCCAATCGCGGCTTCTTTTCCGATTGTTCCACGCCCTGTCCCTCTGTCCGGATGGTATATTCGATGGTCAGAGGAGAGGGCCCCGACGGCGATCGACGTGAGATAGTCGCCCCCAGATGACGAATACCCGCCGTGGAGCGCTTTTGTCGACCCCCGGAGTGCAGTTAGAGCTCCCGATCTCGCCTTTGGTCTTGAAACTACGACCCGGGCAGATAGGGCGGTGCCGGCGCTGTCCGTAGTCGTATTTATTGCCGCCTGAGAAGGGTACCCCGAGGCTTTAGATCAGTGGTCGGCAGGTCATTCGGGGTCGTGCCCCCTTTTTGGGCGCCAGGCAGGGCCATTACCCCCACCTACCAGACCCCATTGCTGACACAACCAAGTTTACTGAAATTCCATACCGTCCTGGAACTCTTTGGGGATTTGTGCATTTCCAATGCATCAAGTTTAAAACATGACACTTCCTCCACAAAACATTTAATGCCTATATCCCAGTAGCGGCGGAACACCTTCAATTAAGGGGGAGGGGGGGGGGGGGCACTGCTGACTTTTGGTCCCATTCTTTCCATGCAACGCCCATAGGGCTAATGTTAAAATGCAAAAATCAAAGGGTGCACGGTGCCCCGGTGCCCTCCCCGTTCCGCCGCCTATGCTATATCCCATTTAACCCTTGTACGTATAGGGGCGGCGGGTGGTTTTTCGTTAAAAGCTCACGTAAAAGGCATTGGATCACGACCAAATTGTACCCTCGAGCCCATCATATTTTTTTACCAGCCCGGAAAATATCATGACCTGAGACCAGTTTTACCAACAGAAAAATAACCGCCTGCCGGAATTTGTGCCTCAAGACCGCTTCACATACGGAGCGTAAACGCGATGGGCTCGTAAGCGGATAGGGCTGTACCGTTTACGCTCCATATGTGAAACGATCTTTAGGCAAAAATTCCGGCAGGCGGCTATTTTTCTGTTGGTAAAACTGGCCTCTGGACCCATAATGACCGTTGGCTTATGAGCTTTTTCTGGAGATCATCTTGAGCCATAAACTCTCACTTCAAGGAGTTATAGCGGGTCCCGATTTTCTCGACACTTGTCATTGCCCTCTTGAATGAGACGGAATGACCAAGGACCTTAAAAATGGGCAGCGGCGGCTTCCTATTGTCATGGGTAGCACGCTCGTCTTTTTTATGCACAGCTCCATATCAGAGTCCGAGAGGCCGCGGGGGTCCGATCGACTCATCCCCCTTACGTTAGCGGCTGTTGAAACGCCAACAGACGGGCGACGGTCAAAAGTTGCAGCTGCTTTTGTACGACTGTACGTAGGGGTGAGATGGTGAGGCGAGCAGGTACGTGAAAATTGGTATCTAATCAATGTGTGCTGACTGCTGTGCCTTTGGCCTGGGCTAATCTTTGAACCCTGGGATGCAACAGTCACGATGGCTCCATCACTGGAGCTACAATCTCTAAAAAGATAGGCTTTCTCAGAATCCCTCATTACCCCCACCGAAAGGGCTCCATTACCCCCAAAGGGGGCATGCCCCACCATTTGCCGACCCCTGCTTTAGATATTTGTTTATGCGATCGGTTTATTTTTGGTATTGTTACTTTGGTATTTTAGTTGCGTACAACACTGTCATGTTTTTATATTGTAACTCCATCTTAACTCCTTTGATTTGGTCACAATGGACGTCAACTAAAGTTGTAATAGCTGTATACAAGTACCCTGCCCTGTGTTTCCTGATAGAAGCAATGCCATTTCTACCTTTCTTAACATCCTGTTCTGAAATGAGCACAGCTTCATTCAACCCTCCTCTCCCACACACACCCACACACACAAACCTGGCTATTCACAGCCTTTTTAATTTGTCGCGGCGGCGGGCGTTTCATCTCTGTGTGGCCTGCGCGGCCACCGACGGACCCGGCTGGCTCCTTTGTCCATGCGTGCGTTTGAAGTGTGCGGGTCTCCTCTGAGGCTGTCTGCCCGCCGCTGTTGTTTGCCGCTAACGTCGGAGATGCCAGCTGAAGAGTCGACTGGGACTCAGGTCCAGGTCAGAGCCGGCAGCGGTGGAACGGCACTCTCAGACGAGGAGATCCAATATCCGGTGTTGGAGAAACTGATAAACATCGGGATTCTGATGCGGTTTGGTTATTGGAGCCTTGGAGGCATTCAATCGCTCCTATTCTCAGCCGGCATGCTTGACCAGGTTAGAGGAGACGAGCCATTCGAAATTGTCTTTGCTCTATTGCTGTCTGAAGATACTTAGGTACGGGTTTCGTTCGAAATGCTCATTTGGCATCTGCTGTACTGACCGCCTACTGTCTCTGCCGGCAGTATCGGCACCTCGTACACTACGCTGTACTGACCGTCTACACTCTACTGTCTCTGCCGGCAGTATCGGCACCTGTTGTTGTTGTTGTTGGTCCCTCCGTCTCACAGCTGAGACGTAGCCGTCCGGCTCTGTAGGGACCTGTGGGCGGCCCCCAGGGCCGCCACGATGGCGCCGCTCCGCACCTCTTCAAGGTCGGGGTTGATGGATCCCAGCAGTCGGTGTCGGGTGGCCATCAGGGCCGGGCAGCGCAGGAGGACATGCTGGGGGGTGTCCGCCTCCTCCCGGCAGACGGGGCAGAGCGCAGCCCTGCAGTGTTGATCGTCACACTGCTCGCACCCCGCCAGCCGGGAGGGCGCCAGCCCGACTCTGTGGCGCCACTGTGTAGAGCTGGTCCAGTGGTATCGGCACCTCGTACAACACGCTGTACTGACCGCCTACTGTCTCTGCCGGCAGTATCGGTACTGACCGCCTACTGTCTCTGCCGGCAGTATCGGTACTGACCATCTACTATACTCTGTCGGCAGTATCGGCACCTCGTACACCACGCTGTACTGACCGTGTACTGTCTCTGCCGGCAGTATCGGTACTGACCGCCTACTATACTCTGCCGGCAGTATCGGCACCTCGTACACCACGCTGCTGTGGTCACTGTTCGGCCAGATCCCTGTGCAGGCTCTGGACCAGCGTCGCCACCAGACCGTCACCCACCTGCTGGGTCAAACACTGCTCGGAGCCTACCTCATCATGGCCGTCACCGTCATGGTCAACATGCTGATCGCCATGATGAGCCGCAGCTTCCAGATCGTCGAGGTGAGTGCCGCGGCGTCGTTACGGAAAATTGTAATGCCACCGCTGGGTACTTAATTCCTTGCCTATGTGATCCATTGTTAAGCAATTTTTGGTGCGTTTGTTCCTCCTCTCTTAATGCATCCTTTCATGTGGCTAAAGTTGTTCCACAAACAATGAATTTCAGGAAAACGAAGCTCTTTGGAAGCAAGAAGTTGGCTGGATAAATGTTTCGATATAGCATTAAAACCCGATCATGTGCATTTTACAGTCCGCAAATGCAACGATGCACCATAATCGTTGAAAGTTTGTGCAGATGCTACGCTGTACCATCCTCGTTGAAATATGTCGTTTTATCCCAATCATTTGATACCGATAAGTGATAACCTTTGATTTTTCATCCTGTAAGCCCGCCTTGAAATAATGGTAGTGATAGCGCCCACAGGCGCATGCATCACCCTCCTCGCCGATTGGTGCACTGATGGTTTCGTCCGAGCACCGGCGGCCGAGTGCCGCCAAATGTCCTCTCTCACCAGAGTAGTCCTGCCGGCCACTCGCCCTCATGAGGTCTCACTCGCCGCCGGCCGACTGGTGCTCCGCTCAATGGCACCAGCTGCTACCACCGCGGCCCGGTCGGAACCCAAAGTTACCGAGAGTTATCTGACTGGGACCAGTCCGACGTGGCGATGGCTGATTGCAGAGATGACGTCCATGGACATGGGCGTTTGAAATGGAGCGTCCGTTTGAAATCGGATCAATGTCGCCTCTTTTCGTGTCGTGTCGAAAGGCTGCTCAGTGCCTGTCCCGTCTGATCTTAAGTCTCGTATGCCTCCTGCCTAGAAGCTTTACCAATGATCAGCTTCTGTGTTAGCTAGGGAGAAACGCGGGATGAGTGGAGGTCGCAATTAACTAGTAATAAGGTTTAATTCTGGAATATCTTGCTTCCGCTGCCGGAAGATTGTTTCCGCATCCGATGTCATAAGTAACCGTTTGAACATCAGCCTCTTGTGCAAACTAGACAGAACAACGCAGATTTCAAGGTAGTTGGCGTTGAATTCGAGTTCAGTTGCCTGCTGGTGCTAAAAATAATTTTCATGGCATCCAAATCCCTGCACCGTCCGCCTGCACTAGTGAAGCTTCCTCCAAGCCTTCCAGTATGTCTGCGTGCTTGGGTTCTGCGACACCTGAGCGAACGTCATTTCAGCGAACGACATTTGAGCGAGACATTTTCAGCGATTATCAATTTAAGCGATTGGCTTTTTCAGCGATTGTCAAGTCGGCGAATTCAATCACAGCGATTATCAACTTTAGCGAGGACCAGAATCAGCGAAACCAGATTGAGCGAATATATGGTGGTCAGTGGGAGACCAATTGAGCGATGCAGTTACAGCGAATGACCGAATGCGACGAAAGTCAATCATTTGCTACTTTTCGGAAATTATTGCACCTCTTTACGCATCATTTGAATTTTGAAGACACATATGTATGTAAACCCGTGTTTACTGAAGGTGAATCGACATAATCAAAAATGAAAGAACATTACATTGTATTTAGCTTTAGGTTACATTTTGACAGAGCCAGGAGCGCAACCTCACTCCTTGGGCTCTCGAACCAGACTCCCCGCCCAAGTCAGCCGAACACCTGCCGTGATCAGCTGATGGGCGAAAACATAGTGCACCATGAGATGCTCCGATCGCGGCATCCGCTATATAAAACATTATACTAATTGGTCAGTAAAGCCGAGAGCATGAGTAAGAGTGTTTACCATTCTAATAATATGCCGTACATAATAAACACATTTTAATTGCAGTATCTAGGACAGCTTCGAGTTCATACCTGTAGCAACAATTGAATAGCAGACGATCACGCGCAAAACCGTTGAATTAAATTCCTGTCCAGACATCATATGGTCACCGGGCTCCTCTCGCCGGTGAAACAGATAAACTTTAATCGGCGCAAAGCTTGCCGATTACACTTCTCCCTCCTTTGAATGAAAGGCGTGCACTTACATCTAGAAACACTCATTGACACATGCGATAACATCAGCAGTTGCAGCACGCGCCACACGACACCATAACACCGTGGTCGCTAAATGATGCCTGGCAGCATCCGGCTGACGTGGACTGGCAGTCAGCAACAACGAAAAACACAAACACGTCATCGCGCAGCATCGCTCACTTATCAACTAGCTAGCTGAACAGGTATGGCTAACCGTCAATGATGGCAATGGGTACCCTGGGTCCCATCCCAAACACAGGCTAACCAGACCATGCTATTTACATCCCATGCCATGATGCTCTGAACAGGCTGCTAGAGGGCTCCTACTCAAACTGAGTTTAATGACATTGACATGTCAATCAGAAACGTCCCCAGGGATTGACCGAATCTAGCTCGAAGCGCACACTCTCTTTCCATAAAGAGTTAAACAAATCTGTCGCACTCCGGCGCCAGGAGCCAACCGATTGCCTGCTGAGCTAGTTAAAAGGAAAATCAGGGCGACTGATTTTACGTTAATTTGAGCGCACCTCTTACCTCTTGCCTTTTGAGCATTCATGCTAATCAGGCTACCTACAAGCCTGGGACAAAGCGATCCGGCGGTCGAGTCCGTCGCTCGGACCGTCTGGCTGGCACTGGCGGCGGTACCTCAGACCGCGGGGGTACCGGCGGACACTCGGGTGTCGGCACCGCCATCTGAACTGTGCCGGACGATTGCTCCTCAATCGCTGGCTCCTTACCTTGCACAGCTGTGCCGATGATGGGCAATCGTGCCCAGGCTGTGACACCAGCCGGGCCATCGGCTGACCCACTGTCCACGGAGACCGACTCTATCTCTGCTGGCGGCGTGGTCTGAGCGCGTGTCACCGGTGACGCAGCATCAGCACCAGCCCCATCCTGACTCTCAGTGACCTCTGGCTCAGGTGGGGTAACTATCGGCTCAGTCCGCGGCTTCAAACGATTATGGTGAACCAGTAATGTTTTCCTGGAGCCCGTGACCTTGATACGATAGTTCAAGTCCCCTACCTTTGCTACAATCACCGCAGCCTTCCACGGTCTCACAAACTTATAATATTGTCCCTTAGGAACTACAGCTTTGTGCAAAAATACCAAATCTCCCTCTTTGTATTCAAACTCATTCATTCGTTTTTCGTAGAATCGTTTGTTTTTCCCATGTGAAGCGTCAGATACATGTAGCGCATGCTTGTGTGCAATTCTCAAAGACTCGCGTAGCTTATCTACATATTCAGTGACGGTCTGAGATTTGCTCGCGACTGGAACCTGGAGCTCAGCCTCCACAGGTAGGCGCGGCTCCCTGTGGAGCCGCGCTCCCTCCCAAATGTAAACCCGTGTTTACTGAAGGTGAATCGACATAATCAAAAATGAAAGAACATTACATTGTATTTAGCTTTAGGTTACATTTTGACAGAGCCAGGAGCGCAACCTCACTCCTTGGGCTCTCGAACCAGACTCCCCGCCCAAGTCAGCCGAACACCTGCCGTGATCAGCTGATGGGCGAAAACATAGTGCACCATGAGATGCTCCGATCGCGGCATCCGCTATATAAAACATTATACTAATTGGTCAGTAAAGCCGAGAGCATGAGTAAGAGTGTTTACCATTCTAATAATATGCCGTACATAATAAACACATTTTAATTGCAGTATCTAGGACAGCTTCGAGTTCATACCTGTAGCAACAATTGAATAGCAGACGATCACGCGCAAAACCGTTGAATTAAATTCCTGTCCAGACATCATATGGTCACCGGGCTCCTCTCGCCGGTGAAACAGATAAACTTTAATCGGCGCAAAGCTTGCCGATTACATGTACATCGGACGACCAACAAGGGGTGCATGGGAGGGGAAAGAGGCGGGCAGAATTTTAATTGAAAATGTGGAACGTAAGAGATAGGGCGACGGAAGGAATGCCAAGGACCAATAATAAACTAGAGAGATGGCACAGGAGAATCCAGTCTATGTTTCAGGGACGTCACCCAAATATCTGGAAATTCGTACGGTGCTTGGGGCAAGAAAAAGTTTTACAAACATGGGGAACTGATCCAAATTCAAGCGGGGCGATTTCGCGAAAAAAGCACAAGCAATATTGATCTCTGAACAAACGTTTGGTCACCATTATTGACAAAGAGACAAAGAGCAGGGTGAATGAGGTCGCAATTAACTAGTAATAAGGTTTAATTCTGGAATATCTTGCTTCCGCTGCCGGAAGATTGTTTCCGCATCCGATGTCATAACCGTTTGAACATCAGGGGGTGAAATTGAACCGTTGGAATTTTTGACAAATATAGCATTAAATTTGGAGCTCAATGTCTGACCTTTCACTTTGAACGCGCGACATCCGCCATCCAGTTCCGGATAACCATGAGAAATTCTGGAAACATTCGTACGCATACGCTCGCAAAAGAAAAAATCCACCGTTACAGGACGATGAAATGTTTCGCTGAAATGACAGTCGCTCAAATTGTAGTCGACGAAATAGATGTCGCTAAAACATAGCTTTCGCTAAAATTGATAATCGCTATATTTGATAATCGATGAACTTGATAATCGCTGAATTGCCATTCGCTGAAAATGGTTCGCTCAAATGACGTTCGCTCAAATGACACTCGCTAAAGTCGCTCGCACCGGCGTGCTTGATCAATACAGATCGTTGCGAGTCTTTTTTCTGGATTCTTCGTACCATCACCGCTGTCACTATATGCTAATACAATCTGGCGTCTAATTTACTAATTGTATTATGCGCTGGTTCCTCATTTACGTGTCTTGGTCCCCATACTCTACCCCACCCCGGCCCTCTCTCTCTCCTCTGTTCTGGCATGTGTCTATTGTGCATCAATATGTATCCACATTGTTTACCTCCCACGCATCGTTCCGTTGGCGCTTGCTATTTCTTCTCTCATCCCTCCACTACTCTAGACGTTTCTCGTCGCTCCGTCGGCTTAGCTATTGTCACCAAGCTGTTCTCCAAACTTATCTTGCGCCTCTCTCTCTCTCTCTCTCTCTCTCTCTCTCTCTCTCTCTCTCTCTCTCTCTCTCTCTCTCTCTCTCTCTCTCTCTCTCTCTCTCTCTCTCTCTCTCTCTCTCTCTCTCTCCCTCTCCCTCTCCCTCTCCCTCTCCCTCTCCCTCTCCCTCTCCCTCTCCCTCTCCCTCTCCCTCTCCCTCTCCCTCTCCCTCTCCCTCTCCCCCTCTCTCTCTCTCTCTCTCTCTCTCTCTCTCTCTCTCTCTCTCTCTCTCTCTCCCCCCCACTGACCCCTCCGCCGCTCTGCCGGCAGGACCACGCCGACCGGGAGTGGAAGTTTGCTCGCTCGCAGCTGTGGATGTCCTACTTTGAGCAGGGCTCCTCGCTACCGCCGCCGTTCAACATGGTCGTCAGTCCCAAGTGGGTGTGGTACGCCGTGCGCTGGGTGCTGGGCACGGCCAGACAGTGTACTGGGGCCGTGCGCGCCCGACTGCGGCCGGCGGATAACGGCACGGCGCACCAGCACCAGCAGCGGCACCAGCAGCACCAACACCAGCAGGAGCAGAAGACGGGAGTCAACGGCGGGGTGGTAAGTTGGATGGACGGAGGGGGGCGGAGTGGAATGGTGGGCTTAGGGCTGAGGTGCGCGAAGGTTGGGGTAGCACTGGGGGCCGAGGGGGGAAGACGGACATGACTCAGTTTGAGTCCCATTCTGGTATTACCACTCGTGACAGTGTACGGGAAAAGGCAGGCATACGCTCTAGTCCGACGCAATTTCCCTCGTTACCCCCATCGCTTCCTGCCCCGCTTGTAGCCGCCAGTGTGCCCGTGATAGTTAGAGCGGGGTCGGGTGGCTTTTAGTGCTGGTTGAGCGGACGGATTGAACCGGCCATTGATGCGGAGTGAACGTGGCAGCTCGGCCACCGGCTGGTCCGCTGTTACGATATAAACTGGCACTGTATTCGGCTGCCGGAGCTCGGAACTGACAGTGGGCTGGGGTACCGGGACTGTTGTATCTGTTGTTCAACTCACTCGGCTAAATCCTGATCTCACTTGCCTGAAAAGTCCAACTTCTATAGCCACTCTGTACGTACTACGTATCTTACAAGGAGCCTAGCATGTGTTCACAAATCCAAGCACGCTTCTGGTAGTTTGCTTACAAACTTGGAAACTCGGCAAGGTTGTTTCAACTTTGTTATGTAATGCCCGACGACTTTTGTCATTCCATGTTCGTTCGCCCGGCCTACCATGTCCGAGCTTGACCGTGGCATTTTGCTGCCTTTGATGGGAGGGATGGACAAAGTTTGTGACCTGAACTCGAAGACAGCTGGTACAAATTAGTATGCAGTGCTAGCCTAGCCAATGGCTGTTGCTCATTCTATGAACAGCTGTCGAACGCTAACAATTAGCTAAGTTTCTACAATCCACATTCGGCCCGTCGCAGAAAGTGTCTGAAGTGATGACCAACTTCGCACATCTGCATGTCTAATCAAGTGACATTGCCGGAGTGCTGTCGGCGGTGACTGGATTTGAACTGGCAGCGAACGGTCGGATTTGGGCTAAGTGAAACTGTGCCGTCAGGAGTCTCCGCCCCGCCGGCCGGCGGGGGAGGGGAAGGGGGGCTCGGCAGGGGGTCGGTGCTTCAGTCACGCGCCCGGTCCCCCACTCGTCGGCCAGAGACGTGACACGAGGAGGGCCTGCCGTCAGCGCGGCCGCTCGCCGTCACCGGCTCCGCCCTGCCGCTCCGACAGTCCACATGGCCGGGAACAGTTCCGAGTTGAGCGGCGACGGGGAGACTAGGGTCGAAGGCTGGATATAAACCTGTCGCTGGCACAGAGGGCCAAGGTTACCTGAAGGAAGCGGTCGATAGGAGAGTTACGTGCGACAAATGAGCGAGTATGCGCAACTCCAGACGGTGCATTACGCTGGTCGCAATCCTCGGATGTCGTCAGTCCTAAACAAAATTAGAGGATAAGTGTTTTTCGTAACTTAAATTGTTCATATTGAGCGTGTTTTGATTAGAACACTCGAGTCTCTCTCTCTCTCTCTCTCTCTCTCTCTCTCTCTCTCTCTCTCTCTCTCTCTCTCTCTCTCTCTCTCTCTCTCTCTCTCTCTCTCTCTCTCTCTCTCTCTCTCTCTCTCTCTCCCTCCCTCCCCTCATCTCACCCCCCCCCTCCCTGTCCTAGCGGTTCCTGCTGCGGGCCGGCTCGCGCGACTCGGAGGCGGACCGGGCTGAGGACAGTTGCGGAGCGGGCGGCGGCGCGGGCCGCCAGCGGGTCTCGGCCACCACCTCTGTGTCCACGGCCGAGGTGGCGTTCGAGTGCCAGGTGCCCTACTCGGAGGTGATGCGCCGACTGGTCAGCAGGTGGGTACAGTACGAGTGGGTAAGTCCGCAGGTGGGTAAGACAGGGGTGGTCAGTGTTCCATTTTTCAGACTTTTTGGTGGCAACTCACACCTAATGGGGAAAATATTTTCATCCCTAAAATATGAATGACCGACTTTACTTCATCTCTGAAAAAGTTTCATGTAGTCCCAACACCCAGTTTACACGTCACTTGACAGTTGATGCACCCACATCCTTTTGTTTCACACCCTGTCAAGATCCTGACATGAAATCCTGGCTTATCAGTTGGCATAAAAATTAGCATTATACCATTTTGCAAAAATATATAAGTTATTTACTTTCTTTTTTTTCTCATCCTAGGATTTTTTTTCTTCATTGGCACACCCAACCAATATCCAATTTTAGAACACTGGGGGTGGTGCACCTAGGGGTGGCCACGAGTCGGAGGAGCTTATAATGTACACAGCGAGAGACGGACAGGAGGGTAGAGGAATGCAGCCCAGGGGAGACGGCGGGAAATTGGGAACGTTTAACGGGAAGGCTAAAATTGAAAGGTCTTACACGACATTCACGGATTGGTATTGCAGTCTCATGTGCCTTTTCAGCTCATTTTAGATCGTGGCAGTGGATTGTTCTCCCAATAGCGTAATCTGATGTGCCCTCCTCATGATCTGGTTTCGCTGCGCTGGCAGGTATATCTTCCATTTCAAGAACCAGCACCGCCACTCGGGTGCCAATGAAGACGACTTCATGGAGATAAAGCAGGACATCTCCAGTCTCAGGTGAGGCTCGAGCGGCTTGCCGTACCGCTCTGGTCAGCGTCCAGAGGTGCCCACGGAAAGGGCATCGGTTAATCGATCATAGGCCCGCTGCGTTCAGTAAGGAAGGATCTGCTCGCGCGGGCTTGTCAGATTTCGCATGATGCATCAGAACGTAATTGAGTTGACGTTTACACTGAAGCTATTTTAGGTTATAATTGCTGCTGCTACATATTTCGTGCTGCTCTGTGTGCTGTTGCCACACATCCTACCGAGAACCAAATCAGTCCGTTACATGATTGAACTGGCCTAATCCGTCCTGAAGATCCGGGTTACCTTCACTTTATACAATACTCAATACCTCCCTGCACCGTTCTTTCGACGTTATAATTGCCATTCACCAATATCATTCTGTTACGTCTCGTTGGATGATGATTCAGGAGCTGGCTCGCCTTCGTATCCAATAAAGTGAGGCGGCCATTCACGCATCTTTGGCGTCTGTTCCCAACCGGCTCCTATTCGATGTTCTATTCAGATCTATTCACGCTTTGGTAACAGACTAATTCACATTAGCTTTCTGTGTCGGCAGACAAGTTATTGCTTGTAGGAAAGCCCCCTTGCCACGGCCCCGTGTAGTCCCAGTGGTGACCAGTTACCACCCCACGTGTGCGTCTCTTTGCCATCTGCATCCGGGTCCCCCTGTCCCGTCTTTGACAGTAATACAGCCTGTCTGCATCCTTACCCGATTCCTTTGATACTGTTCCTTAGTCATTCTTTCATATGCCCAATTAGTCCTCCCCCGTCCACAATATGATACTTCATCTCTCCGGTAACTCCTGCTCACATGCCTCGGAGTTCCAGTCGCCATTGCCCACAAAGATCCCGTCCCCTCTCCTGTGTTACACCCCGTCCATACTCTTTATGTGACTTTCCACCCGTCTGTTACACCCCGTCCGACGTCCGTACTCTGCTGTTACACCCAGTCCGTACTCCTATGTGACACCCCGTCCGTACTCTCCTGTGTTACACCCCGTCCGTACTATTTATGTGGCACTCCGTCCATACTCTCCTGTGTTACACCCCGTCCGTACTCTTACGTGACACTCCGTCCATACTCTCCTGTGTCCATATACCCCGTCCGTACTCTTATGTGACACTCCGTCAATACTCTCCTCACTCCCCGTCCGTACTCTATGACTTTCCGTGCTCATCCATGACATTGCGCCCTCCCTTGTAATGTTCGATACTTTCCTGTGGCATTCCGTCCTCCCCTGTATTATCGTTATCCCATGTAACATTCCAAACTCACGTAACATTGCGTCCTGTCCTATGACATCCCGTACGGCGTAGTGTGACACCCCGCCCACCGCCAGGTACGAGCTGCGTGAGGACAGGAAGCGGGAGGCCTCGCGGAACTACCGTAACCTGGACAACCTGCGCAGGGACATCGTCACCCTGTTCAGGGAGGAGCTGGGCGGCGGACTGAACGTGCCGCCCGACGGCCGGGCCTACTCGTCCGACTGCGGGCCCGACACCATCTACAGGAAACCCTCCCGCAGAGGTTAGTAGGATGAAACCGTCCCGCAGAGGTTAGTTATTCCCGACACCATCTACCGGTAACCGTCCCGCAGAGGTCAGTAGGGTGAAACCGTCCCGCAGAGGTCAGTTATACCGACACCATCTACCGCAAACCCTCCCGCAGAGGTTAGTTATTCCCGACACCATCTACAGAAAACCCTCCCGCAGAGGTTAGTTATATCGACACCATCTACAGGAAACCCTCCCGCAGAGGTTAGTTATTCCCGACACCATCTACAGGAAACCGTCCCGCAGAGGTTAGTTATATCGACACCATCTACAGGAAACCCTCCCGCAGAGGTTAGTAGGATGAAATCGTCCCGCAGAGGTCAGTGTAGGGTGAAAGACTCCCGCAGAGGTCAGTTATAACCGACACCATCCACAGGAAACCCTCCCGCAGAGGTTAGTTGGATGAAACCGTCCCGTAGAGGTCAGGCAACGTTCAGCAGGAACCTCTATACAGAGGGTAGTTACTGACAGGATGTTTTGTTTATTTTTTAGCCGTTATGCATCGTCCTGGGAATTGGCATAGGTCAAGTGAACTGTTCTTGCTGTTGTGAGGTTATGTGAAGTGCGTCCTTCCCTGTCGCGGTTACGTGCCGGATTCGTGGAACCATATGAAAAGGATTTGGTCGTCTGGTACTGCGGCTCTGGTGAGGCCGCTACCCGCCACCCTCCCTGCTGCTCTCCCTGCCGCGGTATCCCGGTAACGTGTGTTTTGTGTCTCTCGGCAGGCCGCACCTCGCTGACGGCCCACTCTCAGCAGTTGTCGCTGGACCTGGGTCTGCTGGGCCGGCCGGAGGGCGGGGGCGGCGCCGCTGAGCCGACGCCTCTCCGCTCCCCGGACGTATCTGTCACCACACTGGCCAGCCTGCGGCAGCTGGTGCGCCGCGAGGTCGAGCTGCTGGCCCGGCAGCCGGCCGCGCTGACCGTGCCGGCGCCGCCCGCCCAGCAGGTCACTCCGGAGCGCACGCCGGCCGGCTCGCCCGGCTCGGCCGCCGAGACGTCGCCCGAGGCGCGCAGTCTGCAGCAGCTCAGCGAGCACATCTGCCAGTGGCAGGAGGCGGTGGGCGGCGCGCCGGCTCCGGTCGGTCCGGCCCGCCGGCCGCCGCCGCCGCGCCGCCGCGCCCTGCTCACGGCTCAGTCGCTGGACCCGTCGGCCGGCGCGGAGGCCCAGAGGCTGCGTAGGCAGATGTCCATGGACCATCACGAGCCGCCCAGGCCCGGATGACGCCAGACAGAGGTGTAGCGGTGATAGTTCGGGCGTCTGAGGGAGAGCGGACGGTCAGCAGACACGACGCCCTCTGGGGCGACCTCGGGCCGGCGGGACATTGGTAACCATAGCGGCGCGCCGGTCATTGTGGAGCCGTTACGGGGGACGGAACTAGGAGTGGTGCGATTTGTGGAGACGGGTTTACCGCGCGGTCGTAGCCTAGCCATTGTTGAAACTGTGAATTCTAGTCCAACTGTTGGAACTTGGAGATCTGCCATAATGTGTGAAGCGTTGTGACTTTGTTTGGCCTGAGGAGGGCCGTTTGCTGATACGTTGATGGTAAGGATTTGCTGAGTTAGGAACTCACCAGTCCTTTTGCGATGTGTTTTGCTTTTGTAGTCGACAAGCAGAGGGTGGGTCAGTGGTGTCGATCATTGAAGACATTGCACACCGACGTTTGTCTGTTATTGCCGGTGATCATATTGTCTAGTCGGCCAAAAAGAGCCTGCTAGAAAACATAGGAAGCAAGTGATATTGCATGCCAGTTAGATTCCTGCCGCAGCCGCCGCACTTCTTCGGACGCTCAGCCGACGTATATGACTTCATCATAATTTCGTAGACTGGAGTGGTCGTACAACAGGCGACCTCTGTGTGCACCTCGACAGACCCTCCTGGCTCCCAGTGCCAGCCTGAAATGGGAACCACGCCAGTCTGGGGTCCGCCGCTTCACCCGGACTGATAAATGCTCATGCTCAGTGACATTACGGCCAGCCACCGTGGGAGCGGTGAAGGTTCGGACTGGTCCGCCAGCTCGCCGACAAAAGGCCCGAGGACGTGGTTTCGATCGGCGACTGAGTGTAGTGATGACGGTCGCGTGGGCGGATAACGGGCGTTTAGACGACAATAAAGCAGTGTTTGGCTGATCTGACAGAGGAAAATGAATTGTTTTGTTCATTGAGGTAATTTATTGTTGAGAAGTTGCTGTTATTTGGTTTGTGAATGTGATGCACCCAGTGTGTGGGAGGGCGCAATGGGATGGCTCTCGCAAATCGATGAGTGTCCGGTCCGAACCGCTGCGGCGATCTCAAACACTCGGTGAGCATTCGACGACGCCTCTCTGGACGGGAGCTGCATGCTCTCTGCGTGTGCTACTCGCTATGAACAACCATACGTTTCGATCGAGTTGCTAGTTTGGATCGCGAAAACGGCAACACAAAAAATGTTTAGAGGGAAACGAGAATCACTTTAACGAGCGGAATCGCTATAAATCTTGTTAACCGGCCTTCGGCCATCTATATCGAGTGGAGACTTCGAAGACACGTCTGAAATTAACTGGTAATCATGTATTTTGTACACAGATACACGTGACGCATACGTCACACAACGTCTGGGAAACCTCACCTTCCACAGTCGTATCGTCTGGAGACGGTTCTGCTGTCTACACTTCTCCAAACCCGCACAAACGGAATCACTCGACAAGTTACAGCGCGCCAACACAAGGACAGCCCACAAATGCTCAGCAAAAACAGAAAAGTGCGGCAGCCGTCTGTGCCACTAACCATGTCTACATTTGTACTCAATGTTTTATCTGCATCGTCTCACCTAATGCACGTCTCTGGGATACAGGATGGTACAAGGGCATTGATAACATGGCTCACGACTTGCACGGCGTGCAACACTATTTACACCAGCACACTATCACACTGAACGGAACTGGCAGTTATCAGCAGCAAGCTCGCGGGGCGCTGCTCACGCGAATGGCGTGGCCACCGGCGCACGCGGTCACAGCCCTGTAATAGTCACCAAGAATGCACAAAGCACGCCCCAAACACATTTCTACACGACAGCGCGCCCTGGCCTCACCAGCCAGGAACAGTCAGTGGGCGAACAACACACGGCGTACCGGTGCTCTGAACAATCAACAGAAAATGTATCAGCACAACCAGCAATCTTCGCTCGCTCTCAGATGCAGTGGAAAGCTGCAGTTTCCCACCTCTCGTGGGTTTGCGGGACATCCCACTACAGCAGTGTTCAGATGTGTCAAACATTTCGCTCATCAGGGCTCAGGGGAGCCTAACGCCCTCAAGCTCACTAACGTCCTATTCCGCTTCAACGAGGTATTAGAGCAATTAGCAGAACATACATAATACGCATTAGCAACATATCAAGCAACAAGTCTGGAAAAGATCTCCCTCAACTCTCATCATATCTTGTCGCGCCGCTGTGCGCACTCAGTGTCCACAGTGCCAGTCCTCTCATCGCTTCCAGTCGCGTGCCGGGCGTGCCGGGGCGTCTACATCACGGAGAGCTCGTCGGCGTCTGTGTCCTCGGCGCTGGGCGGCGGCGCCGGCACGCCGTCGGGCGCGATGACACGGAACTGGGACGGCTGCTGGCTCTGCTTCTGCTCCAGCAGCATCACAGGCTCGTGCTCGTCACCGTCGACACGCACCTGCCGAACCGAAGGCGGTGGGATAAACAGTAGCGGCGGAACACCTTCAATTAGGGGGGGGGCACTGCCGACTATGGTCCCATTTTGGTCCCATCCTTTCCGTGCAATGCCCATAGGGCTAATATTTAACCCGCGCCCTGCTGGGGGTCCTGGATTTCCACGCCCTGCTGGGGGGGGGGGGGGGGTGTTTGAACACCCCCCTTCTAACTCGGCTCCTGGGCCACGTAGCGATACGCGGAAGGCGGCGTTCGAAAGAGCGTCAAAAATAATGAGGAAATCACTTTGGTCAATTTTTTGGTCAGGTCAAAGGTCAGGTCACCAGAGGTCATTGAAGGCAAAATTTCGCCGATTTCCAGGTCGAATGTCGACAATTTCCAAGAAGCCAACGCATAACTCGGGAACCAACAGAGCTACAGCGCCGCAAAAAAAAGCGCATTCGATAGCCCTATTAACGCCCTTTCTGAGCAATTCTCTCAAATTTGACCTAACGTCAAGGGTTTTGCCTGCAGGGGGCAAAAACTGCAAAAATAACAGATTTTTCGGAAACAGTTTTTCTGCAATAACTTTTGACCCAAGCCTTGTACGAGCTTACTTTTACCGGCATCGTGTTCCTCTCGTCAAGACGCATCGAATGAACTATAACTTGACCTTGAAAGGTCAACTTGAAAATTTGACCTCAGGTCAATGTCATGACCTGACCGGAAAGGGTCATGTTGCATATCAGTCGATCCGTATCGTCGAGCTGAACACATCTAAGGCGTTTTCGTCGCTCTAGCATGCCTCTATCAAAAGTTATTTGCGAAAAACTGTTAGATACCATTCGTGACCTAAGATGACCTCAGGGCATAAACAGGGGTCACGGACACCATTTCCATGTTCAGTGTGTCTAAACCACTTGTAATTCAGTGTTTGGGAGTGTTTATAATGTCTTTCGTCCAAAAGAGGCGCATTTCAATTTTCTCCCATTGACTTTTATAATGGGAGGTCGCAAAATTGACCTGACCTTAGGTCATCGATATCAAAATTATGAGATATACATTTTGTACATGCTATTGCTCTTAGCAATCGCTGAAAGTTTCAAAGCGATCGGTCAGCGAAAAACCACAAGCGGGGGTGTTCAAACACCCCCCGCAGGGCGCGGGTTAAGTGCCAAAATCAGAGGGGGGCACGGTGCCCCGGTGCCCTCCCCGTTCCGCCGCCTATGGGGATGAGTGGCACATTCAGAGGGCGCACAACCTGCGGGAGTCAGGCAGGTTTACGGCGGCACCAGCTCGCTATCGCTGCCACCAAACTGTTGCCACCGATGGTAGCGGTAATGATTTAGGTGCCGCGCGGTTGAAGTGTGTGTGTGTGTGGGGGGGGGGGGGCACCGTAGCATTCTCACTCCCCGATAGTCTGGTTGCTGGAAGTGGACACAGTAGCAGTCTGGCGGTATATCTGGGCGAGAAGGCGGTTTCCCTTGGCTTGGACCTCAGGAACATTGGGGACCGTGAGCGGTGGTTAGATAGCATGGTGGGCTGCTCCATTTTGGAACGGGGTGTTGCATGGTGCCACATTTTATCTTACTAATGACAGTACTCGGATGGTACTCTGCATCAGCGCAGTTGTGAAATGGCTTGAATTTCCGGTCGGCAGGCATCCGTATGTCACGATTGAGGGTGCGGGAGGTCATCAAAAGAGCACGCACTCCACAAACGGCAAGCTGCAGTGATAAGTAGTTTTTTATACTGGCAGGGCAGAGAGAAAAAATATGCTTCTGTCTGCGCAATGCTGGCAGAACAGCCAGACAGCACGGTCCTTCGTATAAGTCCAGCCGGAGATCCATGGGGCAATCTGAAAGACAGAGATCAGAGATCCAGACGTTACGAACCTGCACGAAGGAGAGCAGATCCTCGATCTCGGCGATTTTCTCGATCCGTTTCTCCAGAGGCAGCTCTGAAACGGATGAACGTTTAAAATCATATTTTAGCCACGTTATCGTTGGCTACGACCAATATTTAACCAAATGACAGCCTCTAAGATATGCAATGACCACGAGCTTGGCCACGGACACCAGCACTAACCCTCGGACTAGCACAGATACCGGTCTATCACTGTATTAACTAAACCCGGCCCCAGCCTGTGAGTATTACAGCTTACACGAACCCCACTCGGAGCTTATAACTGCCTTGCCCCGATCCCCAATTAATGACAACTGCATAGATTTAGCCCCGACCTGCAACTTTAACTACAACTATAACTACATCCAGACCTAACACAACTACAAATATCTTAGCCTAATGCCGGGTCCCACTCATACTTGCCCTGACATCCGATCTATAACTATTCAAAAACAGCAAGCCCGCCAACAAGTTGGCACCACCATATGCCATACCCCAGCGGCCAGCACGACCTCCTGTCGCGATCCCCCAGACCCTGCCCATCCCGTCTCCTCAAGTTCCCATCACCGAGAGGGGGCAGCACTCACCAGCCAGCCCCCGGTTCAGTCGGTTCAGAAGGTTGCGCTGCTTCTGCGAGACCTGCCAGAGTCGCACCTTCAGCTGGGAGTGGCGGCTCCGCTGGACGCGCACCTCCTCCTGTGCCTGGTGGGACGCGGACACACGGGTCAGTCGAGACAGACACACGGTCAGCATACGGCAGACAGTCGAGACAGACCGCAGACAGCCGAGACCGACACAGACACACGGTCAGCCGAGACCGACACAGACACACGGGTCAGTCGAGACAGGCGCAGACACACGGTCAGCACACCGCAGACAGTCGAGACAGACACAGCAGTCAGTCGAAACACAGATTCACGGTCAGCCGAGCGAGACAGACACAGACACACGGTCAGCCGAGACACAGATACAAACACAGTGAATCGCAGACAGACAGACAGACAGACAGACAGACACACGGTCAGCTGAGACACAGACGACAGATCAGCTGAGCCGCAAACAGCCGATACACAGACACTAGACAGTACCGTCAGCCGAGACACGGACACACGGTTAGCCGAGATACAAACAGAGCAGTCAGTCGACACAGACACAGACACACGGTCAGACGAGACACGGGTACACGGCCAGCAGAGACAGACACAGACACACAGTCACCGAGACGCGACACGGAGACACGGTCAGCCGAGATACAAACAGAGTAGTCAGTCGACTCAGACACAGACACACGGTCAGACGAGACACGGGTACACGGCCAGCAGAGACAGACACAGACACACAGTCACCGAGACGCGACACGGAGACACGGTCAGCCGAGATACAAACAGAGCAGTCAGTCGACTCAGACACAGACACACGGTCAGACGAGACACGGGTACACGGTCAGCCAGATACAGACACACGGCTAGCCGAGGCAGGGACACACGGTCGGTCGAAACAGACACACGGTTAGCCGAAACAGACAGTATGGTCAGCCAGACACAGACACAGACAGGCAGTCAGCCAGACATGGACACAGACACGCAGTCAGCCAGACTCAGACACACACACACACACACATCATACACATAAGCATTGTACATACATACACATCTTACAATGTTGCATGCATGCCATGTATGTAAACACAAAGCTACCGGTTACAGATCAGAACGTTCCTTGAAAAGTCTCCAATACAAGGCTCTCTCACACGAGGATCCCAGCACCCCGCCCTGGGAGTGGCCTTCCCACGGCCCCCAGCGAGACCACTCACCGTCTTCAGTACGAGCACGGTCTGGCGTTTGATGGGCGTGGCGTTCTCGAGTCGCCCGAACAGGAGCTCCTCCAAGGCGTGCTTGGCGGCCGTGTACTCCCCGGCATTCACTCGAACCCGCACTCGTGGAGGCGTCGGCACAAACTGGGTGAGACGAGAGGGCACGTTCAGTCAACCACCATGTGCAATGGATGCATACGACACACGGGAACTTTGAATGTGGGACAAGATGTGCGGCTTTTCCAACCTAGGAATTCAAAAGAACACAACCGATTACGATTTTCATAACCGAATGAAATAGGTTTATGTTATATTTGCATGGTTTAATAGCATTGATAGCAAAGATAATACTGTGCCTCCTATTCCTTATGCTGCTCCTTGAACGAAGAGCCATGTCATTCATTCTAATAGGCGAAACATCCAACAGCAGTTCGGTCAGGCGACACAAGCACACCATGAAACTGCGCCTTACGTAAGTGGTGAGGCCAGGTTGCAGCCAGGGGCGATGGGCAGCGGCCGCTGAACTTACCGGCGGCACAGGCGATTGGATGGGCCGCTCTTGGAGCTGCTGCTTGCGTCGCTTGGGTCGCGGCTCTGAGTCCGTGGCAGTCGCGCCGTCCGGCTCCGGTCGCGCCGGACTCGGCTCCTCGGGCGCCGAGCTAGTGGAGGGCCTCCCAGGGTCTCGCGTTCCGGCTCCGGAGCCAACGGTGCTGGGGGCCAGCACTGCACGTAGCAAAGGAGCAGAGGGGGGCGGCAGCACCCGCTTCAACGGCCCGCTGCTGGAGGGCGATGCCTTGGCGGATGGTCGAATCACATGTGGCACTGCCTTGGCGGATGGTCGAATCACATGTGGCACTGCCTTGGCGGATGGTCGATCCACATGTGGCACTGCCATAGTGGATGGTCGAATCACATGGGGCGCTGCCTTGGCGGATATTTGATCCTCCACATCGGGCACTGCCTTGGCGGATGGTCGGTTGACATGGGACGCTGCCACGGCGGGTGTCGGGACCGTGGGAGGCGCTGTCTCGTGAGACGCCCCGCCGCTGGCAGGCGCTGCGGCGGCAGGTGTCTGCACTGAAGACGCCGTCGGAATACCGCCCGAGCGAGGCCTGCCGGGCCCCGATGTCGATGCCTCGCCCACAGATTGGCTCGCAGCTGGAAAGAGCAGAACTGGTGTTAAACATGTTTCCAGTATGAGTTTTTTTTTTTAAAGCTCTGGTTTAGGTTGAAGCATCCACCTGTGACTTTATAAGAGCACATCCTGTGTGAAACAGATGAAATTACATTTTTAGTTATTGCAAGCGCTATAGTTGCTTGATGATCTAATATTATACCCAAAAAATTAAAGACGATCAAAATGATGAAGTGGCAAAGTGTCAACATATCGTGAAAACGAACTTGTTGCTCTAGTTTAAACATTTACGTTAGTGGGACTCAAGTCACCGTCACTGCTGCCACTTGTGCTCCAACTCACCTGGCATCCGTTCCGGGCACTCGGTGTTGGTGTCCAGCACCAGCTCGTCGTCACTGATGTCCGAGTTGTCCAACAGGATGACGTCGAGAGGAGCGCGTGGCGGCGGCGGCGGCAGCACCACCACCTCGTCGTCGCTGTCGCCGGTCGCCGACGCGCCTGGCTCGTCGAACGCCAGCGCCGCGGACAACTCCATGGAGGGTGACAGCGGGTCCACGGTGGCGGCGGCGGAGGCGGCAAGCGCTGCGCGTCGAGCCGCAGGCGGCGCAGACGGAGCTGGGGGCCGCTGGACATTACCCACCCGCCGAGATAGAGCCTCCGCTTTAACCACATGAGGCCGAGTCGCAGCAGACGGCGGCGTTGCGGACGTTGCTTTTGCTTTGGGTTTCGAGGGAATGATCACCGTTTTCGATGCGGTACTCGGCCTCTGAGTGGGACCCGACGACGTTGCGGTGCTGGTGACGGTCTCCGTCGGCGTTCTCTGTCCGGCCACCGCCGCTACGCCGAGTGCGGACGGAGCCGGCGCGGTGCTGCCAGCGACTGCCACCGGAACCGGCTCAGTACTCGACCTCGTCCCGGGCTGCTCCTTGATGGGTCCGAGGAAGACAAAGTCAGGCAGGTGGGGCATCCATACGATGGTGACGAGCACATTGTTCACCTTGGTCGAGACAGGGCGGCCAGTGTTCTTCACCTGATGCACGGCGTGCTTGAGGTATCGCTTGGTGAGCGAGATGGGAATGCCATCGACGTGCATAAGGTCTGGTACCTTGTCTACTTCGATCATGTTCCAGCGCGAAGGTTTGCCACCGAAGCGAGCAGTCACCATGCGCCCCTCTACACGTTCGGGCGGCATGCGCACATATGACAGACGTGCACCGCCAGTAGACTTAGCTTTGTTCTGTTCATTCTGATTAGCGGCCGACTGAGACGCCATCGTCGTGCTTAGGCCCTGTCTTTCTTTGCCAGACTGTACCACTTGTGGTAGCTCCGGACCTGTCTTGGAGGTAGGTCCAGGTTTCTGGTGCATGACTTCCTTTGTCGCTCTTGTCACCTTCGCAGCATCGCCCACCTCTGAGTTGGACTGAGACGATGTCAGCGACTGCGCTCGACACGATGCTGAGCTATCGACGGTCTGAGGCTTCGGTAGAGCTGACGACTTACCCATACACAGGAATGACCTGCTTGATGATACTACCGTGTACGAGGGCGTCTGGGAACTCGTCGCTGCTTTCTCAGCGTCTGATACTGTGGTTGTTGTAGTCTGTCGCTTTGTTTCTCCTGACTGTCGGGAAACTGTTGGTTTCGCAGCTTGTGACGGATTTTGGCTTGTAGGATCTCCACGTTTGATATTCACTGTCGACACAGGTTTCGATTGGCCTGACAGAGCGGATCCTGATAGCGTGACGGTCGGGAGGCTGCCTGGCACTGGCGGATTGGCTCCAGCACCGGACGCCGACTTTGACCCAGCACCAGACACTGACTTTGACGCAGCAGGGACTTGAGATACCGTTGATACACTGACCCGGATGACATCACAAGGCTTGCCCTGGCGGAGCACTGTTACATCTGTTGATTTCAGAGTGGGTTGGCCGGACAATTGCCCTGGTTGTAGCGTTGTCGGCTGGCGAGGAGCTAGCAAAGGAAAGGCTTTGGTAGGAACTTGGTGGGCGGCGTTGATAGCCTTCCTCAGGGCCTCTTGTTCATGTCGCTTGAAGGATACGATGATTTTGTCGCAGTTACTAGATTTAGCGTTAGGCTGAGCATCCTCAGTGACCGCCAAGCCCAGTTTCCCACAACTTGACACACTTTCAGGAGCATGTTCTGTGACATTTGACGCATCTCCATCCAGTGAGCAGTTGGTACCCAACAAACCACACCCAGAAACCGAGCCATCTTTCGCGGCTGCATTGACAGTGCTGATGCCACCTTTGACAGCCACCTTCATATGCCCTTTCGTCACGTCCTTGGAACTTTTTGTTGCAGCCACCTGGATGTTCTTGCCACCCTGCGTCACCGCTACCACTTTCCCGTCTTCAACACGCAGCCGGATGCGAGGGCTGCCACCATAGCACGCTTGCTTCAGACCTGAGCTAGGTGGCACGCTTAGTGAAGCTCCTGCAGCAGATGTGTTACTGCTACAAGGCGGTATTTGAATCTGCTCGTCAGGAGAGGACGACAAGCATTGCTGGGAAAGGCCGCCCATTGGCAATGCACTCTGTGGGGTTTCTCCAGAAGAAGGCTTGCGACTGTTGCATGCCGACATCTGCGTCTGGATGTCGGGGCTGATGCCTGCTTGCTGCTGGGTGGGCCTGCTCATGAGTGGCAAGATCTGCGGAGCTCCTTCAGCAGCAGGTTTTTTGTCACGCGCAGATAACGGCTTCTGCGGCGGAATGTCAGTAGCAACGGACTCGCGTTGCTGATTTAATTCGCAAGGATGCGGTGCTTTCTGTGGAGCCCCTCCAGCGGCAGATTCTCCATCACTTAGACAGACGCGCTTCTGGACCTCAGTGGGAACCACACGCTGCTTGATTGGGTGGCATCTCGGTCTTTTTTGTGAGCGTTGCTGTTCGAAGGCGGGAGCACCGCTACCATCTTTGAGGGTGCACACCTGGTCGCCATCTGCATCTGAGACCGATTCCTCACAAGTCAGCGACAAGGATGGTACATCCGTTGACGAGACAGGTCGCAAGAAGTGTTTGGGAGCCCTGCTCGGCGACACATACCTAATCATTTGACTCGTCTTCCCCTTCTCTTCTAGAGACGTCGGGACACTTGTGGTCGGCATCCGATAGGCACTGGCCGAGTTCAGTTGCCAGACCCTGTCTATGTCAAATGCTTCGAGCATGCACCGGAGAGAGCTTTGCACCATGCCACCACCGAGGCCACACAAGAAGCGCACAGCTTCCGCAATCCATTCCTTCTCCTCGTCACAGGCCTTCACAATGCCAATGACGATGAACGTCCCGGCAGTGACCCGACGGAGTAGAACCATGCCACTCTCATGCAGCTTGTGCGTCCTCATATTCACTCGATACAGCTTACGACGTTTGTCAGACTGTGGAGCATCCTTCGCGTAAATAGTGATCACACCATCTCTGCTGATAGCTCGTGCGCGAAGGAACTGAAGTTGATAGTTGATCGTAACCAGTGGCATGCGATACAGCTGTCCTTCACTGTCCTCCACTGACACAGCGTTCAGACGCTGTCCCTCGGGTGGGTTGCGAAACCGATGACCATCCTTGTCAGCCACCAAGACGTCGTCGGCAGACTCGATCCGCCACGTCATTCCCGGCGGAACGGGCGTTGAGGACAGCACGTTCAGCATGCCGTTGCGAAGACGCACGGCTACGTGCTGAGTGTTGTTGGGTGCTGTGGCACTTGTTTCACTCGATACGATGCGGACGACACGCTCCACATCTTGACAGGCCACTGGGTCGGGCAGCTGGACGATGGTTGGCGGGCGCCGTGGTGGGACGGGCAAACGTGGTGCTTGCGCTCCCTTGTAGACAGCACCTGCAAGCAAGCAAGAATGCTTGAGTGGGAGGAACTCCATTGGCCTTTTCGTCTTTCGAACCGCGAACGTGCGTGCTGAGTGGTCATGACGAGGCCTAAAGATAGTAGGCGGTAGACGGCGTGACCGTACGGCCACGTTGCGGCCCAGTTGGCGCAAACGATGCGCTGTTAGCTTGTAACAGCTTCCGCGTTCAGCGTACTTGCGACAGTTGTGAGACTGGTGTACGATACAAAACGGCGACACTTGCGGCAGTCGGTAAAGTGGCACCCGTACCCTCACTCTGCATGAGAGCTGAAAGTACTGTCTGTCTAGGACATCTTCGTCGTCCATTGGCAGATGACTTGGCAACCTCATACGCGATCGTGCCTGGACGCGAGGGGTAATGACGTCTGATGTTCCGAATAGCAATGGTCCCCCGTACCATACGTCCTGCTTCGTGTACCTTAATGGAACTTTGCGCGTCCGCTTCATCCGACTTCCAGCCACCGAACCAAGCGATTTTGGGCCCAGAGAAGCACATGCTGGGGACTGGTCGTGACCAGAGGCGTCTGTACCTGTTTGCGATGGGGCTGGTGGCGTCGAAGAAGCAACAGAGGCAATACTGTTACAGGTGCAACAAAGCATACACTGCACTTGCCCGCAATGCTCTTTCTCCATGTTGGGGCATGACAGGCTGCTGCAGACACAGCCCATCTGACAAGCTTCTTGACCACACGCTGTCAATCCGTTCGCCACAGACGACTCGCCTGCTTTTGTCTGAGGTGCAGGATGAAGTCCCAGTCGGAGCATTTCTCTGTTGTACTTCCCCTTCGAAGCATAAAGGGTTGACTCCGCTGCTGGCGTTCGTTCGGTGTATTTCTGGTTGTTCTGTTCTTGTAGGCATTCTCTTTCATGTCCATGTTGGGCCTCTGGGATCTTGTGTGGAGACACATCTGTTCCCATGCTTAACTCATATGTGCCGTTAAGCTGGGTTACTTCAGCGGTCTCTGTCGCCTTCTCCTTCCTTCCTCCCACCTCCTTCGTTTCCCACGTTTCTTTTTCCTCCAGCCGCGCACTGGTCTTGTCGATATCTGCAAAGGAAGACGGATCGTCCTTATTGCCCATTCGAGAGCAACTGGGCCTTTTGACTTCTTTGTCGTCTCCTTTCTCCGAAAAGTCGTCTGTTTCCACTATGCCACCCAGATTCTGGAGAGCAGCTGGTGCCACCTTCTGCCTCGTTGTCTTCATTCCTTCTCCATCCATTCCCTGTTCCATGTATCTGCTTCGTTTCACCGACACTTCTTCCTCCATTGCACAGACCACCTGTCGGGCTTCATGCGCTTGGTCTACTCGGTCTCCCCTATCGTCCACACACCGAATCATCCCCTTCTCCTCGATTGTTCCTCCCATCTTTCTCCCTAATGGATCTACACAGGGAGTCCTCTTACGCACCCTTGGCTTTGACTTAGGCCTGACAATTCCAGTACTGTCGTCGCACACCGCCGACGCAGCCATCCTCGCCATGATGCAGTCCACTGGCACAGTGTTGACACGATACTCGTTGTGACGGTTCATCTGCGGAATAACATGCTCAGGTCGCACGATCCGGCTCGGTTTGGGCACGCGGAAGCCTGGACGACCTTGAGGAGCATGAACGTCTTTGTCACACGGCACAGAGCCCCGAATCAGCAGCTGCTGATGCTGATCATATGCGTACAGGGCCGTACCTTGCGAGTTGGTAGACTTGTCGTCAGAGCGACGCTCCACCATTGAACGATGAGCGACAGCGCTGAGGGGCATCAGACATCCAGCACGTGACACTAGCGGTACGTGATGGTCACGAGGCGATGCCGGGCTCTGACAGGCTGATCTTGGGCGCTGGCGAGATCGAAGGAAGTTTTTCGCTGGCACAGAGTCGAAATCAAAGTCAGGTTCTTTGTTGGACGCTTTGGCTTTTACAGCGTCGTCGAGCTGTTTGGCAAGACCTGCTTCCAGCTCCTCTTTGGTGCGATAGCCGAGCCAGGCGAGGCGTTCCAGAACCGTTCGGCAGCGTGGTTCATCAGGTAGCCGATCCGGTGGCGGCCTCTGTGGGACAACTTCCTGCTGCGCTGGCACCGGTGGGGGAGATGCCGCGCGAGCAACGTTGGTCACGACGAACGAAGCGGGAAGAGTGAGACTTATTCTCAAGGAGCTGTGATCTCTTAGATACTCCTCCAGTTCCGGACTGGAGAAGATTCCAGCAGCATCTGAGGCAGGCGGCGTGTCGACTGTGACTTGGACCCGATCTGCGACTGCAGGGTTGTAGGCTACTCCTAACTCAGTACCATGTTCGTGAGATGACTGAGCGAAAGCCTCGCGCGCTATTTCCCTTATTTCTTCATATGCATTCCTTCGACGAGAACGCTTACGATCGGGCCTTGACGTTCCTGGTTGATGTAGATCAGAGGGTTGCTTCGCGTTGTACTCGTCCTCTATGTTCTCAAAGGTAGATGAAGACGTCCTCGAGAGTTCACGCTTTCTCTCACAGAAACGGTTGACCCGTAGCGAGCATGACCATCTCAAAGATCCGGATCCGCGTCCGCGTCCACGTCCGCGTCCCCGTCCTTGACCTCGGCCTCGGCCTCGGCCTCGGCCTCGGCCTCGGCCTCCACCTCGACCATGGCAACGACTGTGACTCTGTTCACCTTTCGAATCACGCTGACTCGTCGGGGCGACAAAAGTCGATGACAGATCGCTGAAGGGCAGCTCAAACGACACATCGGAGTCGGGTTCCAGAATCGGCATTTGTTCTGTAAACATCTCTGGTTCAGAAGGGCTCGATGGCTGATCCAGGTCAGGCAGCTTCGCCCGACGTAGTTCCGTATCGGAAAGATCTATGTAAGGATCCCAGTCAGGGTCGTCCCAGTCGTTTGGAGCATCAAGATCTAACCGAAGTCGGTTCTCCCGTGCAGCTTTCATCCGTAACATAGCTGCTTTGCGCCGTTCTTGTCTTCGGAGTCGACGGGCGCGCTGCTCTTCACGTCGTGTGAAACGAATCATTGCCGACGCTGTGTTGAATGACACGAAGCGAAAGCCATCAATCACATCCACCTCTTCACCACGCTTCCCACGGTATGCAATGTGAACCGAACGCTGAGGCCCCTCTTCATCCCAGACACGAAGGATTTTGCGTGATGGCTCCATTTTTGATGGTTCAGGGGACAACGCATCGTCAGATCCCGCTGTTGGCTGGATGCTTGTGCATCGTGACATTGTTTCTTCGGAGATTCCGAAATAACTCTGCAAGAGGTTATCACTTGATCCATGTTCTTTTTCTATTTCTATCAGCTCTTCAATTTCTAGCGCAGCGCGCGCCTTCTTGTACATATGATTTGCTTCAGCCTCGATTTTGGCCAAAGTATCAGAGTAATCACCGTCTACATCAGTGCTTACTTCAATCACCGTCTCCCAAATGAGACAGTCCTCCTCAGGTGTCGGCATAATATCGTTTCTCTTCAGTTGTTCCCAGCCTGTTTTCAGGAAACGCTTCAGCAGCAACACAGGGCCCACTGGTCGTCCACGCGGCAGCGGGAGCGCGCGTCCAGAGTGCAGGAGCTGCATACGCTTTTTGTACTCACTGAACGTTTCCCCTGCTGGAAAATGACGCTGCTTGCCAATTCCGCGCGATCTACGGGAACCTCGCATCCTTCTTTTCGGTGGATGGCTGGCAGTGTGATCCTTGTCTGCATTCGCGTTTGGGATTTGACAGCTACTGGCAATGGTAGCATCTCCCACGGTTACAGCCGATTCATCGGCAGGTTCAGCCGAGCCAGGGACCGCTCCGGGGACCGCTGTCAAGTTTTCATTGCTAGGCGTCACTGGATCACTGGCGACAGTGGTCGAACGGACAGTTGCCGATTCTGAGGCATTTCCAACGTTTGATGACGCAGCTCCCGGTGTCCCCGAGGTCGTCATACTTTCTTGAGCTGTCTTTTTCCTCCGCCGAGTTGGTCCACCGCTTTCAAACAGCGTTGCCCCCAGTGACTGTCGATTCATGGCACGCTGCTTACGACGTTCCTTCATTCTTTGGTTGATGGTGATGTATCCACGTCCCCGAGGCCGCCGCGGCTTCTTGACAATCACTGTCGACTCTAATTCCGATGTTAAACCGGCTTGGCTTGTTCCTGGCGGGGGCTCCTCATCACAGACAGCTTCGCTGGGGTTGTTGGCTTCATCGGGAGACATCGAAGCAGCGGCACCCACACGATCGGTAGATATATCCTGTTCTGCATTTCCGACATCCAAAGATATGCTAGCACCAGCATTCGCACAGCTGTAGGCCATATTCCGCTCCAAATTTCCGGTCGCTGTCTCGGGTTCGTTCTCTTGGATGCAAATGTTTTCTCCTGGGTTTTCTGCATCTTCAGGAGATAGCGAAGAAGCAACATCCACACCATTTGAAGCCATAGCCTCCTTTCCGTTCACGGCCACAGACTGAAGTGAGCTGCCGTTATCAGTTGCTGAACCACCGACAAGGCTCTTGGAAAGGCGTTTTTTCCTCCGCTGTCCTAAGGGTCGGCCGCCCCTTGCCTGCCGTCGGGCGCGGTATTCGCGTTGTTTTAACGCTGCCAGTGAAGGGTTTTCTTGTCGAGGACCACCTCCTCGCCGTTTCTGCTTTCTTTTTGTTTCTCTTTCACGCACATCATCTGAGGCTGCTGATGCTGATGCTGTGCACTTCGACATCTTTGGCACAGACTCAGTGGTTCCAATCCCTGCATCCATAATCACTTTGTCGGACTCAAGCAATCCTGCTGGCTCAAACGCCACGTCACCGCTTTGTTCGGGCACTGTTTTGCTGGTCTTGATCAGCCAGTAGTGTGAAGCGCGACCGATCCGGGCATAGGATCGCACTGTGTGTGACGACGAGGACTTTGCATCCAAACTTGATCCAGGAATTCGTCTTCTTACCCCGCAGTGACCTCGACCCCGGCCGAGTCGGTGAGCCACTTCAATCTCTCGGACGTTGTTGAAAGACTGCTCTGGATTGTCTTCAGCAAATGATTGTTCTTCGTTTCCACCGGACGATGTTTCGGACGGCTCAGACTTGGTCGCCAGGCACACATCCTCCACATGAGCTGCTGAAGCAGTACAACCGACTGTTGAGGCGGCTTCCGGTAATGACGTTGTCTGACTCACCCTCTGCTTGTGTCGTCGCCGACCTCGTTTGGTAAGTCCATCAGTGTCTCCCTTGTCCTGTTGCAAATCAGCTGGAACGACCTTGCGAGACCGTGAGCGACGTTTCGGCTTTCTTCCTTCACATTGGTCGCTCTTTGTCGCTATCGTCGTTTCCTGTTTGCCTTTGGAAGAAACTGAGGAATCGCTACTAAATATTAACTTCTGATGTACGACTCCGTCCCGCCCGCGAGATATGGCGATCTTCGGCAATGGTGGACGTCCTTCGTCATAGGAGGATGCAATCGACGGAGGTGCGGTCAACGCAGCGGTCGGTGTCGAATGAGGCGGGGGAGGCGAAGAAGATTCGACTGTTCCACATTTTTGCCGTCGCGGGTTTCGCTGGACACTGACTGCACGTCGCCTAGCTTGGGTCCGCCGCGGCGCGCGTCTGGCGGCTGGGGTACTCGGCAGAGATTCGGTCTCGGCGGCTAGCACCGTCTCCGTGGAGCTCACCACGGTAGCAGCTTGGGCAGATGAGGAGCTGGCCGACGTAGCAGCTTCGTTCGACACCGCTAGTCCATCATTATCAGTCGCGCACTTAGCTCCTAGTAGTGTGTCACCAGAAGGCAGCACTGACGGATAACCTACCCCTTCGCAGGAGCTTATGTGGCTCGGCAGATCCGCAGTCTCCGTATGACCTCCACTGTCCGACTGCGGGGTCATACTGCCGCTGCCACCGCCCTCGGCGTTCGTCTGGCGACCCCCATTCCGGCGTCGCAGGGAGACCAATCCTGGGCTCGCCCGGCGCGCCGGCACAGGACGAAGCTTGGCCCTCAGCACGTCCGAAATCGAGCGAGCGATGTTCGGCTGGGGTGGGGCACCACTAGCCGTCTCCTCTGTGCGTGCCGCCTCACTACGGTTCATCACTTGCGCCAGGGCAGCCTTCATCTTTGGGATCAGCCCCTCCTTCCGGTCCGTCGACATGCTGATCGTTATGACGTGCTCTGGGGAGAAGAAATATGCATTAGAGGGAGCAAGACAAGCTCTATCAGCGTGCATTTTGTTTTGAATGATAATATAGAAGTTGGTGTGCAAAGAAGGCAGCAAAAAAAAAAACGAATCATAAGTGACTGTGCAGCGTCATGACGTGAAACCACAACTTTGGATTTCAGAGAGCACGCATTTGAAGCGCGCTACACCCATAATCGAGGACCACTAACACAGAGGCTGTGGGCGTCCTGTTTGATCGACATTAGCGATGTTTCGTGTCGTCGCGATCTGTTAGAAGAATCATCATCTATCAGGGTTTAAAGCTGAAAGAAATCGGCATAATCTGCCTATGACTGAACTACTCAGACCCAGACTGCATTATAATTAGTGCCTTGCATGTTCTGTGATTACGAAGATAGTTTTTGTGTTCCTGAATGCGTTTTATTAGACCTCCCCCCCCCTCCCCCGCTTCTCCGAAATAAGACTTATTATCGCATCTGCTGACCGAAGTTTACAAGGGTTCATGTGATATATATGGAATAAGGAGCAGTAGAGATGGTGCTTCAACCGAAAAATAGCAAAATGTCGGTGGTATTTACAGGTTGCAGGCTCTGCCAAACAGCGATAAGATAAAGGCGATAAGAGGTTTGTTACATTAACTGAGTGGATTGGATTAATGAATAGGTATAAAAAAGTCAGCACTGACTTTACTCGTAAGTTTATCGTAATAAGTCCTATACAACACGTCTTGCACTAGAAAACAAGACAGTCCATGCAACAGGCTGCAAAGCCATCGGTGGTGGTCAGACTTGTGCCAAGATCCCAAAAAGATCCGAGATCCAGGATCTGCAAGATCCAAGATCCGGGATCTTGAGGGATCTTGGATACAGCACTTTAGGTTTTGCCGAGGGATCCTGGGGATCCAGGACTCTGGTCATCATTTTGTCGAGGGATCCTGGGGATCTTGGATCCTGGCTTTTGATTTCATCGAGGGACCTTGGGATCTTGGATCCTGGTTTTTTATTTGTCGCGGGATCCTGGGGATCTTGGATCCTGGTTTTTAACGGGAATATCCTACACATGAGTCTACCATGCGCACCGACGGGGGTCTGCGCCAACTTCGCACCGACGGGGGGGCGGATGACCGCCCCCCCCCCCCTGAGATCTCGAGAACGAAGCAAGATAGCGACAAGCGGTAAACGGCATCGGATACGCACGGCCAAGATCTACAATTTTTACTAAGGTCATTTTCAGGTCAGGTCAAAGATGACGTCACAGGGGTCGAAAAAGTCAAAATGGCGGCGCTAGATATGGAGACAGTTTTTCTCGAATGACTTTCGAATTAGTCAAGATAGGAACAAACTAAGGGCATCATCGTGATCCTCTCGTCAATCCGCATCGAATGATATATATGTTGACCTCGAAAGGTCAAGGTCAAAGGTTGACCTCAGGTCACGTGACCTCGAGGTCATCATGCATATCATTCGATGCGTCTTGACGAGCTGAACACAATGAGACCATCCACGCGTCTGTATCTTGTTCCTGTACGGAGTTATTGGCCAAAAACCTTTGGTGACCTTTGATGACGTCACATGACCTCACAGCTGCCCAGCAGCAAAACAGACCTCAAGGTAGTGAAGGTTGATCGTATATGAAGTCATTTTTGGTATAGGTATGGGGCCATTCCGACCCGTTTTAGTGGTAAAAACAGGGAGTTGATTTTTCCCCCATTGACTTATAATGGGGAGGTCGCGAAATTGACCTGACCTTAGGTCACCGATATCAAAATTCCGAGATATACAAATTGTAGCTACTAATGACCTTATAATATCCTGCGACTTTCAAAGGCCTCCGACATCTACTGTAGCTCTGGCACGGTGACAAAGTTGCAAAAAAGTGACTTGAGGTTGGGTCATTCAAAGTGACCTGGTGACCTGACCTTAAAAGGTAGGAGGTTCAAACTTGCACACCATGTGTAAAATTGATGAGGTTATAGTCATACCAAATTTCGCGGCGCAAAACCTCAGGGGGGGCGGATATCCGCCCCCCCCCCGTCGGTGCGCGGGTTAAATACCTACCAAACCTACCTATTGCTAGCAAATTAAAATCTCCTGAGGATGAATATCTATAAGCCAGGAAAACCAATGTGCAAAACATTAGCATGTACAACTGTTCAGTGTTCAACTCACTTTATACTGTAAGGAAGACATACTCTACTAACTAAGGTGCTCGAGGTTTCAAAGTATACATCAGCATAAACACAACTTAGACTTTGGGCCTTACTATTAACTGGATTATTTGCCAGCTGGCGTCGTATGGTGGCGCTAGCAGAGCTTGTTATATATCAATGCTAGATATAAGTTTGGTCGGTATCAGTTTGGCATTGGTTTTGAAAATTTCTTAAATTACATCACAAACATGAAACATGTACATAAAAAAATCAGAAATTTACATCACTAGTATGCACATGTCCATTTAGTGCTTCTCCGTGGCTAGAACTGAGTCAGTTGCAGTCTGCAGTTGCAAGTAACAGATAAAACATTCTAAAATTATGATTGTGCGTTGGATCTTGGGGATCTTGGATCCTACAATTTTGATATTACGTGGGATCTTGGGGATCTCGGATCCTGGTGGTCTGATCTTGCGTGGGATCTTGTGGATCTTGGACCTTGAAATTTTGATTTTGTGTGGGATCCTGGGGATCTTGGATCCTGAAATTCGGAAATTGTGTGGGATCTTGCGGATCTTGGATCTTGATTTTTGGTCGAGGCACAAGTCACTGGTGGTACCTATACACCAACTATGGATAGCCGGCGGGACGCCTACTGATTGACGATCTGATCCAACCAAACATCTAAATCGAAACCAGGACCCCGAAAATCACATAAAAAAAATTCACTTGAATAAGTTCTAGCAGGTCCTGCTTTCTCTCCTCTTTTGGGTCATTGATCTGACCTGAAAGGTCAGCAAGTGACCTTGGGCCATAAAGTTGGGCATCATCGAGGGTTCGTCCCGTCACGGGCAAAGCGCTCTTCCCATATAAAGGCTAAAGCTTATATGAGACCTCTGGAGACCTCTGTTAGACCTCTGGAGACACGTCGCTGAAGTTATACATACAGCACCTCCCATCCTATCGGGTGTTTAGCTGTGACACAATTGTATGACCAGGTGTTTCACATGCCTTTTAACCTGCGTTTGACTGAGGCTCCAGCCGAACACCATTGACTGAGGGGATGGGGGCGTTTAACCCTCGCCGGGCCAGGGGGGTTGATGCAGACCCCCCCCCCCCCACTAGGGTTTTTCGCAAATAGCGTAAAAACGACGCCAAATTTTGCATACCCTCTAGGGCAACCTTTGGGCACCTTCTCTAAAAATGTCAGGCATCAGTCCTTTCAGGTCAGGTCACCAGGTCACCCAAACCGGTACAATAATGTCAGGGTAAAATTGGACTACAAAAGCGGCACGGAATCGCTGAGCTTCTCGTTAATAGCGTAAGAACCGTAAGACTTAGGGCCAACAAATTTCAGACACAACTTGGGGCAGCCAATTGACACGTGACCTAGGAGTTTTGCAATCCAGTGACCTGAGGTCAAGTCACAAGGTCAAAAAAATCGGTACATGGTCACAATGGCACTGAAAATACGCTATATTATCAATGTTATCTATGTAGAGTTGTACATCTATTTCATTCAAACTGGCAGGATATGCTAATCTCACCGAATTATATAGCCTCCATTCAGAGTTTCGAAGTTCGGTTGACCTGAGGTCATCTAGAGGTCACGACAAATTTTAAGAAAATTTGTCTGAATTGCTTCAATCGTAAAAATATGCTCCAATTCAACGTTTTTGTGTTCCTTTAGCTCTAGCGAAGATGAATTCGGTGTTTGCTTGCTGAAAAAACACCTAGGTCAGGTCATCTGAGGTCAAACTACGTTTTTGCTAATAACTTCGCACACAATGAGGCTAGAGCTTCAAAAAGGGTGTCATTGTGTTCCTTGTAATCAGCAGAATCAAATGATACGCGATATGATGCAATTTGGTTACCTTGAACTTAATAAATTCAAATTCACTTAAAAATTAGGAAAATTTTAAGTTTACTTAACCCGCGCCGGGCCGGGGGGTGTTTGAACACCCCCCCCCCCCTCCCTGCAGTTTGTCGCAGATATCTCAGAAACGGCGCGGAGCGCCACCGTTTTTGGCACACCTGTTCGTGCATCTTTTCCGCACATGTTGTGAAAATTTCAGACCCAGGTCGCCTTAGGTGAGGTCACCAGGTCACGCCAAGTGACCTCACCTCAGAAAAAATAAGAATGCTCGTCATAGCTACACCGATTGATCGATTGCTTTGAAACTTTCAGCGATTGATAAGAGCAACATTATCTATAAAATGTATATCTCGGAATTTTGATATCGGTGACCTAAGGTCAGGTCAATTTTGCGGCCTCTCCATTATACATAAGTCAATGGGAGACAATTGAAAAGCGTCTGTTTTGCACAAACGCTATTCTAGACACTCTCAAACATCGAGATGTAGGTAAGATTGACACACTGAACCAGAAAATGGCAACTGTGACCCCTCATTATGTCCCCGAGGTCATCTCAGGTCACGAACAGAATCTAACAGTTTTTCGCTAATACCTAACTTCTGATAGAGGCGTGCTAGAGCGCTGAAAACGCTTTAGATGTGTTCGGTTCGACGTTGCGGATCGACTGATATGCAACATGACCTTTTCCGGTCAGGTCATGACCTTGACCTAAAGTCAAATTTTCCAGTTGACATTTCGAGGTCAAATTATTGTTCATTCGACGCGTCTTGACGAGAGGAACACGATGCTGGCAAAAGTAATGTCATGGCTCTTTTGAGTCAAAAGTTATTGCCGAAAAACCGTTTTTCATAAAGACTTGGAGTTTGGAGTTTTTGCCCTCTGGAGGCTAAACCGTTGACCTGAGGTCAAATCTGAGAACATTACACAGAAAGGTCTGTAAAAGGGCTATCGAATGCGCTTTCCGCGGC